CACTGCTACTGCCACTACTGTCACTGCTGCTGCCACTACTGTCACTGCTACTGCCACTACTGTCACTGCTACTGCCACTACTGTCACTGCTACTGCCACTACTGTCACTGCTGCTGTCACTGCTGCTGCCACTGCTGCTGCTACTACTGTCACTGCTGCAGCCTACTGCCACTGCTGTCACTGCTGCCGACGTCGCCGCTGCTCAGCAGACAACGCGGCGACCTCCAAGCTCTGCTCTGACTGTAACCCTGAATTATATATACATTTTAAATCGGCAATTATATTATTATCGCATTGGTATACATTTTGGAAGACCGTGAAAAGCAAAACAAAATACCAACACACTTCATAAAACGTGAAAATTGCGTTTAAATCCACGAACCGAGATAGCTGTTTTTTTTTTACTCCGAGCGCCTCGTAACTGCTGCGCGTACGCCTCTAATGAGGCAGTGCGCTGAAATACTTCTGGAAGCGGTGCTCTGACACGAGTATTAAGGGGCCGTCCATAAATGACGTCACGCACCTGGGGAGGGGGGGGGTGTCAGACATTTGTGACGATGTGTGACGAGGGGGGGGGGGAATTTGAGAAATGTGACGTCACATCAAAATGCGCAACTTTAAATAAATATAGACAACACGTTCTACTTAATTAAAGACTTTTTAAATACATGTTTTCTCCTACAACATCAGAGTGCAGCGCCACGTTAAATACGCACTAGAATGACAATAGTTTAAAGCGATTTGAAGCATGTTTTTTTTGGGGGGGGGGGAGCGGCAGAGTTTTGTGACGTCATATTTGAGAGGAGGGGGGGGTCTGACTTTTTGTGCCGTCGTGTGACGAAAGAGGGGGGGGGGTCAAAAATCGCCCAAAATCGCGTGACGTCATGTATGGACTGCCCCTAAACCACGGAGTTCCGTGCAAACAAGGCGGGGTAATGAGAAGACGGCGGAGAGCGCTGCTCGGAGTGAGCGGGGTGAGCCTTCAACAGCGTCTCCCGACGTCGGCAGCGGCACCCGCCGACGCTGTCATTCCATTTCGGCCACTCGGCTCCCGGTCTTCCCAAAATAATGAAACCAGCACGTGGCGCACGGCGACGCCCTGGCCGATATTTTTTTTTGCCGAACAACATTCTGGAAATGTCGCATTTCGCGCAGACAACAACAACAACAGCTCTTGAAAACGTTGGACGATGTCACACTTTGTTGGGGGGGTGCCCGTCTGGCATATGGTGATAAGCAAAAAAAAAACGACTTCAAGTGTATAAGAAATATATTGGCAGCGTTTCAATCACGTAGCTCAACGTACCTGTCAAACTGTGTTTCTGTGATATGTCTGTGTTTCTGTTTTAAGGCAGCATAAATAGACGGTGGGGTGTTTTTTTTTATTTAAAAAACATTGTTTTATGCTTGCACATCGCGTTGTCAACGCGCAGTGCCTTGAATATTTTATTTGGTGCAGTTGGCTCCGCTGAACTTTTTTTGTATAATTCTTTGATGCAACAAACACATTAAAACAAGTCGCCGGTGCTGCGGGATTGTAAGAATCCCATGAAAATGGGGCAGCGACGCAATCGCGACTGACACTCCTCCACCACCTCCGACTGACACTCCTCCACCACCTCCGACTGACACTCCTCCACCACCTCCGACTGACAGTCCTCCACCTCCGACTGACACTCCTCCACCACCTCCGACTGACACTCCTCCACCACCTCCGACTGACACTCCTCCACCACCTCCGACTGACACTCCTCCACCACCTCCGACTGACACTCCTCCACCACCTCCGACTGACACTCCTCCACCACCTCCGACTGACACTCCTCCACCACCTCCGACTGACACTCCTCCACCACCTCCGACTGACACTCCTCCACCACCTCCGACTGACACTCCTCCACCACCTCCGACTGACACTCCTCCACCACCTCCGACTGACACTCCTCCACCACCTCCGACTGACACTCCTCCACCACCTCCGACTGACACTCCTCCACCACCTCCGACTGACACTCCTCCACCACCTCCGCCCCACGTCTGTCGCAGCGGGACCACATTTCCGTTACGGCCAAATGTCAAACACCTCGATCCACCCTCCACGCCACGACACCTCGGACCAAATGATGGTCCCGCGAAACCAAGAGTGGAAATGGAATTAAAACGCGAGGAGGTCTTTATCGTTGAGCGACGAGGGACGCCGTTAGCAGCTTAGCACGCGAGCCAATCGGAGCCTAAGCCTGCCTCTACCCCTGACCCTAGCATCGCGCCTGCCTCTGCTGCTTCTCCCCACCTCCTCGGAGTTGATGGGGCAGACCGCACGGTGCCTCCGCGACATTGAGAGGAGATGGCCTACTCGAGAGGAGACGGGGTGACGAGATCGAATCATGTGCAGGAGTGAGATGGAAGGTAATATGGGACAATTGGGGATAGCGACAGCGTTGAATGGCCTTCATCCAGCAGTGGATAGACAATGCTTGCTGCTGATGATATAATTGGAATACTTTTATCATACTCTCCCAAACAGGTTTGTGTCACAGTCCCACAAAAAAACCTTCAATCCACTGCTGGATGAAGACCTGTCCATTCGGGTTTGACCATGCTTTAACATACTGGTCAATGTATGTTGGATGAGGGAGACCCAGGACCGGTTCACATACCACTTGCCTCTGATGTTAGCCGTGACCGGGTCGCCAATGAAAACAGCCTCTTCGCTCAATGGACTTTGCATGAGATCGTCTGCTTCACTTGGAATTTAATGGGATACCTATTGGCACTAAAATGCCTTCGTTTGAGCCGCTATCAAAGTACTGTACTGCATGATCGAGCCAAGCAACTACATTCACAACTATCGAGGCGTGAGGCTTAGTGTCACCGGTGCAGCTATCGAACGTGCAGGCGGTGCAACTGCACCGAGAGGCTCAGATTGCTGGAATACGAAGAGGTGGGGGGAAGTCGGACAGGACCGGGTGGGGGGAAGGTGGGGGGGGAGGGGCTCCGGTTCATTCCTTGCACCAGGGCCCACGCACACTTCGCTACGCCACTGGGCGCACGCGGCTGTGGGCAAGTGGCGTGGTGGGGACTCGGGAGAGGGATGGGAGGAGCGGGAGGAGACGGCGCTCGCTCTCCTTAACGAGCGCGCGCGCGCCGAGGATCGCGCCGCTCCGTTGCGATTGACGGCGTCCGCGAAGGGGCGGCGTGCGTCACAGGACCGACGCGGCTTCATCCGTCACGACCTGCACGCGCCAAGCACGCGAGTTATTAACGCCGCACAGCCGGAAGAGCTCAGTCCTCCCCGCTTAGCGAGGATCCGCTGGCGGTGGTGGTGGCGGTGGCGGTTGTGGCCGCCCGGGCATCCGTCTGCGTCCCCGCACGATGGCGACCAACTTAGTGCTATCGATTATCCTCCGGAGATCGCAGATCCCACCGACTGCTTTAAGCGCAATGCGTGACGCCCCCAGCACCCCCCCCCCTCTTCCCCACGAGCCCCCTCCCCCAGCCTCTACACCCCCCCCAGCCCACTCCCGCCTCCGTCCCTTACCAAGCCAGGCGACCGGCAAGGCTGTGATCACGTCGGACCGTATCTGAAGCGTGACTGAGCGGTTACACGGATTCTCCAATCTTGTTCGATTCGATGCGCTCAACGAGCAGAGGGCGAGCGCGCTGGTCGGTCGTGCTGCTGCAACTTGCGGCTGTCACCTCCGGGGTACAAAAACAACCGAGACGTTGTAGGGGAGAGAATGACAATCTCACAATAGCCGAATGGGGGAGGGGGTGGGGGGTGGGGGAGAACTGCGTGTGACTGCGTTGCTCCCGAGTGGCGCGTTGTTGTTGTTACTGCTGCCGCTGTTATTATTATCGTCGTTATTACGCAATTGACGAAAACCGTGTTAAGTGATGTCCCGGGAAAACAAAAAAAAAGACCATTCTGGGAAAACCAGGACCGGTGGCAACTCTTGCTGTGACACCAACGTGTCCAAGTTTCCCCCCCCCCTCGCCCGCTCTGTGCCACGCTCGTGTCCGGTGTCACCTCGTCCCCAGCGCGGTGTTGGCAGTGGGCAAACCGCGGCAAGGTCGGCCTGGCCGGTGACCCCCGGGCTGCCGATTGAAGCCCCGCGGCATTGAGCCGCGGGGCTCAATGCCCCGCGGCTCAATGCCTGAGCCCCGCGGCATTGAGCCGCGGGGCTCAGCGGCTCTGTGGGAGGAGGAGGGGGGGGGGGGGCTGTGACAGAGTTTACGAGCATTATCCGGAACGATTATTGTATTTCTAAAAATCGTAATAGCGCAAAGTCAAGGTCAACTCCGTTTAATTCTGCCACGACGAGACGCTACGGGCTTGCAAGAGGTCAGCAAAGGATTTTACGGAACAGGGTCGTTCGTTTTGTCACGCTGCCGTTTAAATAAGACCGCGGTCGCTTCTACAGAAGCCTCAACATGTATCCCCCTGATCTGATGACGTGCTCCGTAGCTCCCAAGCCCGGCAGATATAAGTTCATCCTCACAGCCTGGGTTACGTGTTGGAGAAAAACGACGTCTGCCGTGAAATGTACACGGATTGCGTGGGTGGTGGCAGTGATGCACGGGCACAATTGACGCAACAAAAACTCAACACATAAACACCGTGGCCTTAAAATAAATATATTACAGATGACGTTTCGAGCAATGACCCTTCTACATAGCACATAAAACCCTTGTTGTGTTTTCGGTACAACGGGACAACACGGCGGAGACCTGTGTTGGGGAGCGACTGCAGTTGGAGCGTAGGGAGGAATGACTGGTGCCATGTGCGTGTGTGTCTCCGTGTGTGTGTGCGCGTGTGTCTCCGTGTGTGTGCATGCGTTGGTATGCGTGGGTCCGTACGTGTGTGTGTGCGTGTGTGTCTGCGTGTGTGTGTGCTTGCGCGTGTGTGTCTGTGTGTGTGCGCGTGTGTGCGCGTGTGTGCGTGCGTGTGTCTGCGTGCGTGCGGGTGTGTGTGTCTGCATGTGTGCGTGCTTTGCGTGCAGAGAAATGACGAACTTAAGGGCTGCGGGGACGTCGTCCGTGTGACAGCAGGGATCGGCAGCTCCGCACGAGTCCCGGATCTATGACAAGGTCCGCCGCACCCCCTGTTGGCTGAACGTCTCCACTGAGCCCGAGACTCCGCGCTCCGCCATCATCACAGCGTTCTGGGATGCTGTTGGAATGAATGACGCGATACATCATCATCATCTCCGTTCATCCCGTCCATTCCGGTGTGATTACCACCGGAGCCGTCACCAGCGCTTAATTTCAATCGGGCCTGTCGAGGTCGGCATAGATACGGGGAATTTCCTGCACCCGGCACACCACATCCAGTTTCCGTCTTGCATTGGTTGTGGCTACAGCTCGCGACGCACCGGGGGAAATATTCGGCGAGAGTTTATTCCCCCGGCAATCGCCAAGGCTATTTTAGCCGACGCGATATAATAATAATTATCGCCGTCATTGTCGAGCTCACATCATAATCATTGTCATCTTTGTCAATCGTCATCAGCAGCAGCAGCAGCAGAAGCACTGCCATTATCTTGTCCTGAAATGTCAAATTATATGACGACGGCGACGATGGTGATCGTCTTCCTGATTGTTGTTATTTCCGTTCACGATTGTGGCCTAATCACAGTCTCCCGCTCGTCAGCTGCTACACCGGGGGGTTCGGGGCTCGGCTGGGTGCCGGGATTTTATCGCAGAAAAATCTGCATGCGTCCACTGTCAGATTGGGGGGTGGGGTTGCAGTAGAGCTATCGTGTGGGGGGCCCAGTCTGGCTATTCGTGTGGGGGGCCCAGTCTGGCTGTCGTGTGGGGGGAGACCATTGCAGTGATTTGCCGCTCAGGAGGAGGAGGATGAAGTGGCTGGGCCAAGGGGAGGTTTGATGACGCGGCGCCCCGACCCCGGTGACCCCCACCCTGGCAGTCCCCACCCCGCCGGCATCCTGCAGCCCGGGTCGTTGCCCCAATCACGCCCCCATAACCCTACCTGTAACCGTCAGGCTGGTCCACGTCGGCACGGAGATGAGCGGCAGGGTGGCGGCGCAGTGGTAACACTCGTGCCTCGCAGCAACAAGGGCCTAGGTTCGATTTATAACTTGGGCGTCTTTTTGCTGTGAAGTTTGTAAGTTCCCCCCCCCCCCCCTGTTCCGCATGGGTTTCTTCCGGGGTCCCCCAAATTTCCTCCCCATAGCTATAAACAAAGCGTACAATATTCTTTGGGTCTTTCGGTAAAGTCACGTAGACAGGAACATCCTCAAATCGAGGCTCGATTTGAGGCTGTCCCGGGTAGGGCGGGGGGGGGGGGCGTTGAACGAGAGGAATCATCGCAGCGAGCAGCGTGCGGCCGTGGCGCCACGGAGTCGCGTTCCTCTGAACGTGCGCGCGGTCGCGAACACAAAGGCGAGAGATAAAGATTATTTATATTCTCTCCCCTCCTGTCCCTTCCCAACGCCGGCAGTAATTACGCAGCAGGCGCACGGAGTTGGGAGAGCAGGGATCGATGTCTGTGCCGTTGCATCCCCCTCCCGCCCGTCCCCCACACCAGCAGTTCAAATCCATTAACAGTGGAATTGATTCCTGGGTCCAGCACATCACGCTGCCTCAAACGTACCCGGGAGGATAGAAATGAATTTCTGGGTCACTTGATCCATATTTTATTTCACAGCCGCTGTAATAAATGGGCTTTTGTTTTGTTTCCTTGCCGATTAGAGGCACCGAGTGATAACGCGCTATAATTGTTTCTCGGGCGAGTCGCGTGGATTACACGGACTTGTAACCGGGCAAAATTCCAAAAGTCCCAGCACTCGCCGTTAATCATTAGGCTTAGGACTGTGGGTGACACGGACGGTTCGTGACTCGTCGTAATTGCTCCGCCAGCCCCCAGACGCTGGCTCCCGCACGACGCGGTCCACGCGGGAAATGACATTGACAACGTAGAGGGGGGCCTGGTGAATCAGGGGCGGCCAGAGAGTACCGAGCAGACACCCGCTCGGCGCCTAGGTTCAACTATTGCGCCGGGGTTCCCAGGTGATATGAGTGAACCGGTGTCGGCATAGTTCCCGATAACTGCTGCGACAAATGTCTGTTGCATTCACGGGATGGTGCCGTGGTGCAGTGCTTGGCGAACTGGTCTTGCCTTCCAGAGGTCAACCAGTTGGGTTCGACCTCCCGCTGCGGCAGTTGAAACGACGGAGCAAGTTTCTTAATTCCCTCTCCGCCGCCACCTCTGTCCACCCAGCGGTGTAAATGGACTACACCACAGTCAGTGTGTCGGCAGGTCACGGGCGGTGGGGTAGAGCGTGGGTACTCCCACCTTTTACAAGACCTCTGTCCAGAGTGGGCCAAGTACCCTCGAGAGGGACTCTAGCGATCCCTCTGCATGTACGTATGCACGTTGAACTTCTTTTGCACCGTACGTGGCCAACCGTGCTAATCGGAGGTGCGGGGTGAAGGACGGCGAACTAAACATCGGTTTTTACCCTCGGGTGTCTCTGGCGGGGGCTCTGGTGCCGGCGAGCGAGTGTGGTACCAGTTGGGCAACTGATGGCAACAACAACATCAACATCAACAACATCAACAACAACATCAACAACACAAAGTACCGACTTCTGAAATGTGCGGTAGATCTCGGTGCACCGCTCACTGCCTGCGCTGGCGCCGTTGGCTCCGTGCGCCGCGTTGGCCGTAACGGTGCCCGCGTGTCTCACACCACCCCCCACCCCCCACACCACGCGCAGCCTCACGAGGAGCATGCGGAGCTGAGGGCACCCGGCGGTGCCGCGCAAAGCAGAGAGAGTGGGGAGAGAGAGCGAGTGGAGGAGAGGGGAGAGAGAGCGAGAGAGAGAGGGAGCGCCCTGGAGAAGGGATCTCGACTCGGCGCCAAACTGGAGAACCTCGAGCAGCTCATCAAGGTGCACACGGCAAACAACACGACAGACAACACAACCATCGACGCAACCGATATAGCAAGTGACACAACAACAAACACAATCAACACAACAGCAAACATCACAAGTAACACAGCAACACAACCAGCTACAAACAAAAACAAGCGAACAATAACAATGGAAGCGATGAACGGTGAACATCTCCACGTTTTACCCTCGGTGCCTCCACTGCGCCAGCGAGAAAATCGCCGGAAAGCCCCCCCGCCCCCCCCCCCCGCCCCTCCCTCCATTGCACCGGCTGTCCCAAGCTGAGCAGGGATGAGCCTGGGTAGTGCTTGGAGGAGTGACCGCCATGCCCAGCAGTCACCATCTCTTGCCGCGGCACCTTACATCGGTGGCTATGAGATGTTAACTACCTCGCCTGGTGTACAGGAGCTCGTGGGTTCGATCCCGACCCTGATGCTTGTAAATTTGGAGTGTGCGTGTCTCTCTTCCCGTGATCATGTGGATTTTTCTCCGGGTCCTCCAGTTTTCCCCTCCACATTGAGAAACGTGCGCTTAGAGCATTTGGCTGCTGCTATAAATGTCCACGCGATAAGCCACTTGGTTGAGCTATCATTTGTAGCCAGGTCGCTTCTGAAAAGGAACTGTACAGCTCAGTGGGCCTTACCTGGTAAAATAAATAAAAAGTTTCGTTGTAATATCGCGGAAACGCTCATACACCTTTTTCCACTGGCACATCTGAGCCGTACCAGTACAGGGGCATCGCAGTGCAAGGCGGTTTTACCACTCACATTTACCTCGTCGAGCCAGAACCAAACGTCACGAAGAGACGTCCGAATCTGGCTCGGGGCCAAGCAGCGCCAGGGCTGGGGTTAACGACGTTCTGCGCCCCCCGCAGCATATGCGAGAGGCTGCCGAGAGGAGGCAGCAGCTGGAGGCAGAGCATGAGGAGGCACTGGCCGTGCTCCGAGCCAAGCAGGACGAGATCACGTTCCTCCAGAAGGTGGGCGTCCTCTCCCGTCCTCTTCCCTCGCCCGCCCGCACGGTAGGGTCGCCGCGACGTGGCAGCACAACGATGTTATCGTACGATGTAAGCTCCGTGAGAGTCGCGTCGGATCGTCCGCGTGCGTTAACGCTGCCACGATTGTGGCTGTACCGCTATTTGGGTCTTCACGATACGGCGGTACCGTCCGTGGATATTATACGTACCGCTTTCCACTGTACAACCGAGCCATCCTGGTGCCGTGCCGAGCCAGTCCAGCATGGCTCAGGAGGTGCCAGTTTGGTTTTCCACTGCAGAACCAGAACCGCACTGCTTTTGTTACACGCAAAAATGAATAAGTCGAGTCGCATGTGTACTGATGCAATGTATGACGAAAATTATTAATCCTGCCCCTGGTTTGGCCTCCATCCAGATTCAGAGGTCGCATGAATTTCGGCTTTTTTTTCTGGCTCGAAAATAGCCAGTGGAAAAACCACCAGTACGGTGAGGCACCTACGCTTGCATGGTGGGTATGTGGCAGTGGAAAGTGGCATTAGTGTTGTTGCAACGTGTTGATACTCCAATGTATCACACAGTGTAAGGTCCGCGGTAAGTGTATTGTCTGATTGCATTAGGGTTAACGTGAGTGAGTGCTCATTTGTGTGTGAATGAGGTGTCATGTGGCCCGGTGATGGCGGTGTTGGAATGGATTCAGCATGCACATAGACACACTGGATAGGCTTTGTCTGTGGATTGGTTACATCTGTGTGGAGCTTTGAGAGTTATCATCCATGTATGTGTGGGTTTCCTGTGGGTACTACAGTTCATCCGACGTGCAAATCATCAGTGGATTTGGTCAAACATCCCAATGTCGCGGGATGCTCCCGAAAAAGAGTCTTGAAACTCGGTTGGGCTTTCCTGGGTCAAGGACGGCTTGATTAAGATGCAGACAAGAGCCCACCGCGATCGATGTCTTGGGGAGACCAAGAAGGAACTGGGTGCTTTTTTGGGGGGGGGGGAATTTGTTCGCACATTACAATGGTAATAAATTGAAACAAAGGATGATCTCATTAAAACGTCGTACAATTAAGTGATGCAACTGTCAGTTAAATAGTTTAGCCTCATTTATACCGTTAAATGCATGGCAATTGAGGTGTGGTTTTGCTGTGAGAGCGAAGCATCGCCATCCCTATGATGGTGACAAAAAGGGGCCCAAGTTGGTCAGCCCTTCGGCTGGCAGATCCTCTTTAACGCCCAGGCCACGTGAACGTGAGGCCTGTGCGCCGCGCTGCTCTGAGAAGCGTTTGGACCCCACGCGCCGCTGCCGCCGCCGCCGCCGCCCCCGCTCGGGAAACTTATCTGAGCGCCTCCGAGCACCGCGGGGTTCATTGCAATTCTCGGCACACGGGGGCCGGACGGCGCGGCAAGCGTCGCGGCGTCGAAAGGGTCTCGCGCAAAGTATACGCGGCCTCTTTGGCGGCGCTGCGGCGAGCGGGGCGCTGATTGATCACCGTGCTCGCGCAGCCGCCGCCGCCGCTTGGCATGGCGCGCACGCAGGGGCTCTCTCGACGGTCGCACCGGCCGCTTTCAACCGCGCCCGGAGGGGCGGGGGGGGGGGTGCCGCAGACTTGCGGCGAGCAACATCGGACGCCGGCGGCGGCGGCGGCGGTGCCGGCCACGGCTCGTTCGAGGTTAATAATTCCGCTCGCGCCGGCCGCTTAGTGACCCAGCCAGGAGAGAGAGAGCGTGACCCCGGATTCTCTCGCGCCGGGCTGCCTTTGGTTTTCACGTGGAGGTGGTGCCGTGGCTGCGTGTGTGCGAGGCTGCCACACGTTCGTGTGTGGCTGCGGATCTGCGAGTGGTGGTGCGGTGGGTTCCTGTGTGGTGGTGGTGTTGTGGGTACCTGTGTGGTGGTGTCGCCGGTTCCTGTATGGTCGTGCCATAGGTTCCTGCGTGGTCGTGCCGTAGGTTCCTGTGCGGTGGTGCCATGGGTTCCTGTGTGGTGGTGCCGTGGGTTTCTGTGTGGTAGTGCTGTGGGTTTCTGTGTGGTGGTGCTGTGGGTTCCTGTGTGGTCATGCCGTAGGTTCCTGTCTGGTCGTGCTGTGGGTTCCTGTGTGGTCATGCCGTGGGTTCCTATGTGGTCATGCCGTAGGTTTCTGTGTGGTGGTGCCATGGGTTGCTTTGTGCACTGGTGCGGTGACTCGGTGGCTCTGTGCGTGCGTGCAGGCTCAGGTGGAAGCTAAGAAGGAACATGAGGGAGCAGTTCACCTGCTCGAGGTAATCGACCTTCTCTAAATATGTTTACGCTTATCGTTAACCAGCACACACCTTCTCATGTCGGAACAACCAACGCAATTATAATCGTTACAATTTGCAACGTGTTCAGTTTTAGTTCACGCTTTAGCTGCTACATTGCCAACTAGTTTTGTTTACGCTGTACGGTTGTCGAGTTCGGCGCCTGTTGGCTCTCGATAACCGGACACCGTCGCTGATTTAGGAGTCACTAAAATATCTTGCGTTTATCGACAAAACAGAATTTCGCGCTTGCGGGCAACCAGCGCGGAAACTGCAGATCGCTCCGTGGGCACATTTTATGTTTTGTAGATTTAGATTTTTTTGTTGCAAGACATGAAGCCTTTGCAGTCCCGCACATAAACCTGCCCTGTTGCATATCACAGCGTTGAGAATTACTTGATTTTAATGGGCGGTTATATTAAAACTCGTTGCTATTGTATACACTGCTATATCGCAGGGCCACATTGGTGGTTTATTTTGTAAAACGTTTTTTTTAGCAAGATATCCAGGTTGGACCATACATATTTTCAGAATCCAAATTTGGCCTCTTGGGCACCCCTCGGACCCCCCCCCCCCCGCCCGTACCATGCGATAACAACCCGCAACACGCCCCACACACGCAGCCCACGGCAACTTGCACTGTTCACTCAAATATTCTGTATTCTCGCAGAATATATTTTAACATCTTTGAATATAATATTCAAAAGCACCACAGACTATATTCATCATTATAACTATTATTTCAACATTACATTATTATTATTATCACCCTCACCATGACCACGCTATTCCGTTTTTTTTTTGCCCTGATGGACCAATGTTTTATTTCTCTACATGTCCTTTGACCCCATCCAGAGCACCCTGGATACCATGCAGGTACTTCCCTTTCATCAGCGCCATCCAACGGGAGCCTCAGTTGGAACCATGCCCCGCTCTCTCGGCTCTCCGGCTCGCGGAAGGGGTCGCCGTTCGTCCCCCGCGCTGCGTTTAGATTCCCTCCTGCGCCCCTTCGGGAGAACTCGCGCTCCGCGCTCTCTCGGCGCCGTGCTCCCGGGCGCTGCAAACGGCCGGCGGCGTGGGATCGGCAAAGCGAGCCGCCAGTGGGGCGTTTGCGCTCAACCTGCCTGCGCGGCGCGTTTTGTTTGATGCGCCGAGGGCCGGGACGAGAGGAAAAAAAAGCGACGGCGTGATTGTCGCGCGGAGGCCAGGAGAGGCACCCAGCTGAGGTTCCCTAATTGTCCGTGATAGGCACCGCTTTTCTTTATTCCTTGTGTTCTGCAATTTTACGGTGGGATTTTTTTTTTGCTGAACCGTGGTTCAGGCGAGGGCACCACTTGCACCACGCCATTGCCTCGGCACAACCCGCGCTCCTCCTCAGCGCGTCCGTCTACTGCACACGTGCTCACACGCACGCGAGCAGTGACGGACCCGTCGTCTGTAAAAACGCACGAGGGCTCTTTGGTGTCGCCTTACGAAGTGCGGCCGTACGTGTTGTTTGTGAGCGTGCCCGCCGCCTGCCACGTGCCCACCGCGCACGGTGCTCACCTGTGTACTCCACTCACCCGCCCGTGTAAAGCATGCGCCCGGTCCGCTGCGTGGTGTGGCATGAGCGAGCGATGAGTCCCATCGTCGCCCCGTGTGCCGTGCCTGCATGCCCCACGTGTCCGTGCTTCCTTCCGCACCCGGCCACCCACCACACCATCGTTTGCCCCCCCCCGCCCCCCCCGAGCACCCCCGCGATTGGCCGTGACTCAGTCCTGGCGTTGTGCGGCAGGGGAAGGTGCGGGAGCTCGAGGAGAAGTGCCGCGTGCAGAGCGAGCAGTTCAACCTCCTGTCCCGCGAACTCGACCGCTTTCGCGTCCAGGCCGGCAAGATGGAGCTGCTGACGAGCGGCAGCGGCGGCGGTGGCCTCGCCACGGAGCCCCAGGGCTCTCCCAGCAAGGCCTACGGGGGCCTGGTCAACGGACTCGCGCCCAGTTTCGGCCTCGGTAAAACCGTCGTCAGAATCATTTTGGGGGGGGGGGCGGGGGGGGGGCGGGGAGGGGGTGATGAGATTCGTGGGTGAGTCGGTTACAGCCAGGCTTTCAGATCAGCTGGGGTCTGTCGTGCTTACTGAGCTGGGAGGGGGGGGGGATCTCTGTGCCCTGTGTGTGAATGGGGAGTGGGGGGGGGGGTGTCTGTGCCTCGTGTGTGAATGGGGAGTGGGGGGGGGGGTGTCTGTGCCTCGTGTGTGAATGGGGAGTGGGGGGGGTCTCTGTGCCTCGTGTGTGAATGGGGAATGGGGGGGTCTCTGTGCCTCGTGTGTGAATGGGGAGTGGGGGGGGATCTCTGTGCCTCGTGTGTGAATGGGGAGTGGGGGGGGTCTCTGTGCCTCGTGTGTGAATGGGGAGTGGGGGGGGTCTCTGTGCCCCGTGTGTGAATGGGGAGTGGGGGGGGGGGTCTCTGTGCCCCGTGTGTGAATGGGGAGTGGGTGGGGGGGTCTCTGTGCCTCGTGTGTGAATGGGGAGTGGGGGGGTGTCTGTGCCTCGTGTGTGAATGGGGAGTGGGTGGGGGGGTCTCTGTGCCTCGTGTGTGAATGGGGAGTGGGGGGGGGGGTTCTCTGTGCCTCGTGTGTGAATGGGGAGTGGGGGGGGTGTCTGTGCCTCGTGTGTGAATGGGGAGTGGAGGGGGGGTCTCTGTGCCTCGTGTGTGAATGGGGTGGGGGGTCTCTGTGCCCCGTGTGTGAATGGGGAGTGGGTGGGGGGGTCTCTGTGCCCCGTGTGTGAATGGGGAGTGGAGGGGGGGTCTCTGTGCCCCGTGTGTGAATGGGGAGTGGGGGGGGGGGGTGTCTGTGCCTCGTGTGTGAATGGGAAGTGGGGGGGGGGGGGGGTCTCTGTGCCTCGTGTGTGGATGGGGAGTGGGGGGGGGGTCTCTGTGCCCCGTGTGTGAATGGGGAGTGGGGGGGGTGTCTGTGCCTCGTGTGTGAATGGGGAGTGGGTGGGGGGGTCTCTGTGCCTCGTGTGTGAATGGGGAGTGGGGGGGTGTCTGTGCCTCGTGTGTGAATGGGGAGTGGAGGGGGGGTCTCTGTGCCCCGTGTGTGAATGGGGAGTGGGTGGGGGGGTCTCTGTGCCCCGTGTGTGAATGGGGAGTGGGGGGGGGGGTCTCTGTGCCTCGTGTGTGAAAGGGGAGTGGGGGGGGGTCTCTGTGCCCCGTGTGTGAATGGGGAGTGGGGGGGTCTCTGTGCCCCGTGTGTGAAAGGGGAGTGGGGGGGTCTCTGTGCCTCGTGTGTGAATGGGGAGTGGGGGGGGTCTCTGTGCCTCGTGTGTGAATGGGGAGTGGGGGGGGGGATCTCCGTGCGTCGTGTGTGAATGGGGTGGGGGGTCTCTGTGCAACGCAGGGCCGGACGGGCTGAGTGAGAAGTCGGAGCGCCTCTCCGTATGGAGCCCAAGTCGCTCGCTGTCAGGCCGGAGCAGCCCCCGCCGGTCCCTCCCCAACGAGGTGAACGCAACGCGAGTGCCATCGTTACACCTGTGAGAGTGTTTATATGGACACGTGTGTGTGTGTGAGTATAAAGATAAAGGTGCAATTCTAGATTTGAAGCTTTCGTGACTGCAAGGATCCATACTCTTTGGTTCTATTCGGTAAAGTCACGTAGGTAAAAAATAAAACAAATCTAATCAAACATTAAACTAATTTTCAATGGCACAGTATATTTTTTCAAGTAGTGGTACCCCAAACTTTCGCAGCTTCTTAAAATTCCCTTTTTACACCCATCAATATGTAAACTCCCCCTCCCCCCCTCGCCGGCCTGCACATGTTCACCCCCTCCACACCGTTCATCATGCTAAGTCCGCCAATTAAATGCTCATTTTTATGCTAATTCCTTTGTCAAGGCACCTTGATTCCTCTCACACAGCTTAAAGGTCGCGGTCTGAGCTTAGCTGTGTTCACTCCAGCGCTGTCCTCGAGACAGTCTGGTCCCTTCACCTGATGAAGGCCACTTGTGTTGTGGCCGAAACGTCGTGATTTTTGTTGTTTTATTTTTTACCTACGTGACTTTACCGAATAGAACCAAAGAGTATAAAGGTGCAACCCCACAATTCCTTGATCACGTCACAGATGGCAAAAACGCCTTGCACCAGAGGGAGCTCAAGTGAGCGCCTTTTGAGGGTGTTTGGTCTACTCTGGCCAGACATCTTGAAAGCAAGATTTTAATTCCTGACCACGGCTAACATCAGCGGCGATTAATATCCGAATCGGTCCTGCCAATCACCTTCACCGACTCTGCGCTGACCAGCGTGGTGAAGTACGGTCAAATAAACCCGTGTGGGGAGGACTTCGTCCATCAGTGGCTTGTCTAACGGGCTGCACACGTGGTCATTTCTGCGCAGGAGAAACACAAGGCCACATGAGCTCTGTACAAAAAGCCAAGATTCTCGAATCGTTCAGATACCCACGCTCGGAACGCCGCCATCTCCCCGGCGAGCCGAGTCTCTGCCGCTGTTTGGCCTCAGCCTTGCGCATGGCTCCATCACCACCGGGACACTGGGAGGGAGCGGCGAGTCACCATGCCCGCGAGCGTCGCCAGCAGGACACGGCAGCCGCTAATTGAAACCATTTGAACTCAGTTGGAGAACAATTATTGGGAGCGCTTTGTTCCGTGCCTTCCGGCCACCGTGGCACACGGAGTGTTTGTGTTGTTTTATGTCAGCCGCGGGTTGTGCTGCTGCTGCTGCTGCCTGATGTACCGTCACGTCCCAGCACTCCGTGGAAGGAGTGCGCGGCGATCACTAAGATAAGGAGCGTGCTAGCGCGTAACTCCATCGCGCTCGCCGCAGCCCTAAAGGGCATCGGTAATGTTGAAAAACGCGAGTCGTTTGCAAAACGACTCGCGCACAGACAGCAATTATTTTTCTTGAGGCAGCACGCGTCAGATTTAATGAAACTGCATATAATGCGCCTGTGTGTGTGTAGTTTTTCAATTTGCAATTCATGGGTTTGAGCACTGCAAGAGGAGCACGACGACTCGTACATTATTCATGATCGTAAAGCAACGTCCGTGAGCCGCGGCTGCAGGGGCCGTCGTCGTAAATCTTCTGCGGTCGTGAGCGAGTGTACAAATGTAAATCAGCGGGCTGCGTGACTGATAACGTGGAGGTTGCGTTGCATTGTTTGACCCAGAGGGATGGTTCTCAAAGGAAGACGCAACACTTAGGGTAGACACATTACCTTACCGGCGAGCCCACAGCTGTCTGTTTTTAAGCTTCGTTAATGAGAAAAAGAGACTTTAAAATTACATTCTGGCGTGTGCTATTAGATCACTCTACAGATGTCGCTACAGTGCCACTCCTACAGAGTGCAATACGCCAGTCGACTGCACATTTTTGCTTGTGCAGTCATTGGTGACACAGCGTTGTTTGACCCCTTTGATGCTGCCGGGCCTCCTCTTGGCCATAGTTATGAAACTGGCTTTTCCTGTGGTCTCATAGACTCATCCACTAGATCAGCTGAAGCAAGGCCGAACCTGTGTAAGGACTGGGAAATGCGGTTGTTAAGTTCAACTTTAATTTGGGTGGGATGTGGCTCTGGCAGTGAGAGAGATTTCGCCGTGGTGGTGAGAGAGATGTGGTGGGTGAGATGTCGCTTTGGTGGTGAGTGAGACGCGGTGAGCTGGAACGTGGCGCTTTACGCGTGAGCGATGTGCAGGTGGACACGGCGAGCGAGGCCGAGGACCTGGACCTGGACCCTGTGACGCTGTCAGGCCCCGTGGGGACGAGGCACCGTAGGAAGCTGCAGGTGTTCATCGCCCGATACAGGTGGGGTCGCGACCCCGTCACGCGTTCTGCCCCCTCGAAGTGACTCCCTCTTGGCATTGGCGTAGCTGTGCAGGCAGTGTAGCTGCACCAAGCTCTATGAGGCACACGCACAGGACTCCAAAGAGGAGTGAAAAATTGTAGAGCCCCATTTTTATTCCTTTTACGAGATCCAATGCCGACGCCGTGGCCTTTGGGATGCCCTGTGTTTTCTTAGAATGTATTATATGCTATTGTGGTTGATTGCGGGTACTAAAAAAATATCGAGGCAAGCTTCCGTTTTTACGACCTAATAATCAAAATAATAGTTTTTATTGTTTTAGCCTGTGGGTCTTCAAGTGCAGTGTTCTCCATCAGTATATGTTTAAGCACCAGACCGTGCTTTCACAGCCATTGGGAGTGAGCTGAGAGCCACGAGAAGTTTACTGTGAGAGAGAAAATCGTGCCACTGTGCGCATGGCGATGTGCCCTCGGTGATGTGCGTGTGCGCTGGTGTGCTCTCCTCGGCGCGTGTGTGCATGATCCTCGTGTGTGCTCCGTGCACGTTCTCTGCGTCCGCTCCTCCGCAGCTACAATCCGTTCCACGGCCCCAACGAGCACCCGGAGGCCGAGCTGCCGCTGACGGCGGGGGAGTACCTCTACGTATACGGCAACATGGACGAGGACGGCTTCTACGAGGGTCAGCCCTCACCCCCCCCACATCCTCTATCCCCCCAAACCTCTAACCTGCCCCCACCCTCGCCATCCACAGCCTCTGCTCGACTCAGCTCTTCAGGGTTGACAAAATCAATACCGCTCCATGCAAAGTTAAGAGTGATTGCCCCCCCCCCCCTACCATTAGAACGTTGCTCTTCTGCTGTAAATGGGCGGTGAGCTTTCTCCCAGGCTTGTTTGAGCGACACGTGGCTTTGAACTTTCCGTTGTGTTGATGTTGTTGTTGTTTTGATAACGGATTTCTTAATTGGTATTTGCGACGCGTGGTTTGTAAAGTTGTGCGCTGCGCCGTTCGTGGCTCTGTCCAGGCGAGCTCGTGGACGGCCGCCGGGGCTTGGTGCCGTCAAACTTCATCGAGCGCGTGCGCGACGACGAGATGTCGGCCTTCCCCGGGTCCCCCGAGCTCGGAGACCTCTCTCAGAATTCCCCGAACCGCAGCCGCGACTCCGACGGCCGAGCTGGTGCGTAGCCACTCCCCCGCGCCGCAAGAAATGGGGGCAAATCCTTGGAGCACACGGCCACAGCAAGGGGCCGACCGGTTACTTCTGAGATCCCTTCTTCGAGTGACCACCCCGTTCCACACAGCGGGGGGCAGCACTTTTCCGCCAACCCTGCGACAAAGAGTCGTACGTAGCGTACGACAAATCGATCATTTTTAACGCTCACAGCTGAAATTTTGCCAAATTGATGCCTGAACCATTTAATGCAATCACCGGGTCAGCAGGCCGAGACTGACAACCCGCTTCACTTGAGAAGCTGGTTTAATGAATGAGCAACCCCAGGCCGGATTTGAATAGCGTGCCCTCTGCATTGCAAATCCAGCGTGCGAGCCATCACGCCACGGCAACTTCCTGCCAACGTAATAAGATGCAATCGTTCTCCGTCTCTCTGTGTCACGGCGGACTTGCCCCGCGCGCCAGCAGAGCGGAGCCGGGGCTCGGAGCCACACAGCGCCGGCAGCGTGGAGCTCAGCCGTGCCGACTCCAGCCTGAGCGGCAGCACCTGCGGCAAGTCCTGCAACGGGCTGGGCGTCGGCGATCACGGGGGTGCCGACATCAGTGGCGCCGGCGGCACGACGGACGCGTGTGAGCAATCGTCCGGTGAGACAAAAACCTCCCCCGCCTTGCCCCAGGCAAGGTGCAGAACGCGTGACGCTGCGCCCCTTGCTGCTGTGTGTCGGGGTTTGTTCGTTGTTTACACCGGGAAAGAGTTGGGGGCTTAAAACCAAACTGTCGAGCATCCAATGAAATGTGTCATCGTGATCATCAACAATGATCAGTCCACTTGCTGGATGAATGCCTCCCCGAGCTGTCACCATCTCTCACTGTCCTGGGCCTCCCCTTTACCATCATCACGTTGACCAGCGTTTGGTCAACAACCCCCACGACGGACATGGCATGGGAAGGCCTTCATCCACCAATGGATTGACAAAGTGGCTGTATTGTTATTCAATCATTAAAGCAAAACTCCAAAATAAATGTGCGGTGTGCGTGCACCTAGGCAGGGGTGTCAACCTGCAAAACTGTGACCACGCTCACCATTCTACTTCTTCCGTCCCCTCCCCATGGTACCGATCCCACCGCCCGTTGCATTGTCCGGTGGCTCGCCTCGCTTGCCGCCGCCGCCACAGTGGACCCCGAGTACGTGGGCGTCCCGTACCCGCGCAACATCAGCGTCATCAAGCAGCTCGCCAAGAGCGTCATCGTCGGCTGGGATCCGCCGGCCACTCCGCTTGGGCCCGGCGTGGGCTTCGCGGGCCGCATCGAGTGCTACGCCGTGTCGGTGAACGGGGAGCGCCGCGCCGTCGTGAGGTTCGGCGGCCGGCGACCGCGCGCGTTGCTCGAGAAGCTGGAGCTGGCGCAGGACGGCGCCGCGTACCGCGTCTGCGTGCAGACGGTGGCGAGCATCACCGCGCAGTTCCCTGGGCCCGTGCCGCAACCGCCGCCGCAGCAGCAGCAGCAGCAGATGCCACCCTCCGCGGGTGCCGGCCCCGCGCCCACGCCCGGTGGCGACGTCGCGCCCGCGCCGATGCCCGGAACCGGCCCCGTGGCCTGCGGCCTGATGCTGCTGGCGCCCGCCGGTGCCGTCCCCTCTCAGCCGTGCGGGACTCTGGACGGCGTGCCGGCGCTGCAGTACTTCTCCGACCCTCTGCGGTGCACGTCCGTGGTTGGCCGCGGCGCCTCCGTAGCGCCACAGAGCCTCGAGGTGCACCAGGTGAGAGTGCTCGTTGGGAAAATCTACGAAATGTCTGGCAGGCTCAACCGGGACACATGTCGAACCGCAGCCCCTCGCTTCCTCTGTTGGTCCCACCCACTTTAACGTAGTCACGCCCACTTAATCACTGAATTTCACAATCATAGTGGATTCGTTAGTGGTTAATCACTGTTATGGTGGCTCTCCCCACAACAGTACTGCTGGCCCCCCTTTCCAATAGCAGCTTGAGCCAGGTTATTTGCACGATTCGGAATTCGTTTTTATGGCTCGGTTTTTATATTTAGGGGTCAGGAATATGGATTAAGGTTGAGGGCTTGGGGGTTGGATTTAGGACTTTGGGTTAGCGACAGCCTTGCCTACGGCCGCTTTTCTCACTACGCAACAGTGGTGACGCTCACGAACCAATCGGCAAATGGCTGCGGGGCCTCATCCTCCATCGGCGTCCGTAACGTTCGGCCCCCCCCGCCCCGTTCCCCGGCGACGGCGCAGGTGACACCGTCGAGCGCCGAGCTGTGGTGGGTGCCGAGCCACAGCGACTACACGCACGCCGTGTTCGTGGACGGCGTGGAGAAGGAGGTGGCGCGTCCGGGCCGCCGGCACTGCCCACTGACGGGGCTGAGGCCCGGCACGCGGCACCGTGTGCGGGTGGAGGCCCGCCCGCACCGCACGCCCTGGGAGCTCCCGCTGGAGCAACGCGAGCACCGCGACGCCGTCGCCGAGTTCACCACGCCGCCCGCAGGTAACGGCGCGTGCGCGCGTGGCGCCGGAAGCTTCCGCGTATGAGTGGCGGCCCATTAATAATCCACGGAGGTAACCCTGACAAAGTTTCCGCCCGGCGTTGGCGGCGGTGAGAAAAGCGAAGGGCGGGGGCGGCGGTGACCGCTGATTGTTCCGCCCCACCGTCTCCTCCTGCAGGCCATGCCCTGGCGCCGCTGGTTGTGGAGGTGAGGCCCGGGCCCGTCCCCGGCAGCCTGTCTGTCAGCTGGACGCCCGTGCAGACGGACCCCGCCGGAGCATTCAACGGCGCCCCCGTCACCGGATACGCCATCTTCGCCGACGGACAGAAGGTTTCTCAAACGCACGATTCAAGACGTGTGCTGTGGTTGCCAGAATTTATTTGAATGGATGGATTGCTACACGCATGGTGTCGAATGTTAGAATAGATTACATGAATACGGCATGCTCTTGCCAATTTCAGGATTAAAAGCAGGCTTGTGTGCAGATCCTAGGTGGACCCCTCACATCTCAAGATCACCATAAATTGTGATGGATGGGGAGGTTTTCATCTAGCAGTAGATTGACTGACACCATTACTTAAAATTCGTGGAGTGCTCGAGTTTTTCCACTCCCCAGGACGGCCGAGACCGCCGAGCATTCCGCCATGCCACGTTTCGAGTCGCGGGCCGTCCGTAAAGATCGCGTGCGCCGGTGCCTCTCACAGGTCATGGAGGTGGCGTCGCCGGTGGCCGGAAACGTGGTGCTGGAGCCGTCGCACCTCCCAGCCGGCGTGCCCCGCACCATCACAGTGCGGACACTCTCCCCGCAAGGCGAGTCGGTTCACTTCGGCGTCGCCACCGTCATGCCCGAAGTGATGCATCAGAACCTGCAAGGCCAGCAGCAGCAGCAACAGCAGCAGCAGCAACAGCAGCAGCAGATGCAGCAGCAGATGCAGCAGCAGATGCAGCATCAGCAGCAGCAGCTTGCGCAGCAACAGATGCAGCAGCAACAGATGCAGCAGCAGATGCAGCAGGTGCAGCAGATGCAGATGAATGCGCAGCGGCTGTGCGGCGTGCCGGGCTACGCGGCCGTGCCACTGCCACCCCGGGAAGGCCCGGCCGAGGGCATTCCCACGGGCAGACGCGGACTCCCGACTGCCCCTCAGGTGGTGCCAGACGTCATGGAGAGGCAAGGCCCCGCCACGCACCCGCTCACACTTTTCGTTCACCACCTCACCCGGTCATTTGTGCTCTTGACAAATTGCTGATGACACGATTTGCGTGAAACTGGCGCAAAGGCAAGAAGAGGAAACGCAGGACCCTGAACTGTGCGTCCGCCGCTGTCCGTCTCGTGCAGGCTCCACGCTCCGGAGGTGGCGCTGCCGCTGCAGGAGGCTACGGCGAACCAGCCGGACGGACAGAGCCGCTGGAGCAACGGCGGCAGCGGCGGCGGCGGCTCGGGAAGCAACGGCCGGTCCCCTCTGCCATCGCCGCACCGCCTGCTGCCGGCCACGTCAGGCCTGGTGGGAGCGGCGGGGCAGGATGGCTCCCAGGTGGCGCAGAAGGCCCTGCCGAGGCCCGACCAGTCGAGGGGGCCGCCCTCCTCGTCGTCGTCGCGAGCGCCGCTCTCGTACCCGCGGACGGACGACCCCGACGTGCCGCCCACCATCGCGCGCGCCATGGCCCACGAGGCCGCGCAGAAGAGCGGCAAGCGCAACAAGGCACGCTGCGCGTTGCTATGGTTACCGTGGGTTGCCGAGGGTTATTGTGGGTTAACACATTGCTGCAGGATAACACAAATGCACCGAAGCGTGATCATTTAATATTCCTGCTGGACGAAGGCGGTTCCATGCCGTGTTGGTCATGGATGCTTGTTTGACCATACTTCACCACCATGCTGGTCAGTGGGGATTGGGGAAGGGGGGACTGAGAACCAGTTCAGATATCGCTCAGCACTGACGTTGGCTGTGGCTGGAAACCGAAGTGGCCGGGTCAGAATGCCACGCTCTAACCACTGCACCACCACTCAAACCCTAATTTGTACGGGGTTTTGGCGCCATAGTGGCGAGATGTGAAATGTCTCGCCTGGTATGCAGGAGGTAATGGGTTCTATCCCGAGCCTATCACCTGTATATTTGGAGTTTACATGTTCTCCCCGTGGTCACGTGGATTTTTCTCCAGATCCTCTGATTTTTCCCTCCACATTCAGAAACATGCATTTAGAGTATTTGGCTGCTATAAATTCCCACGTGATAAGACACTTCGTTTTGGCCAGGTCGTGTCTGAAACAAAGATAATAGCTCAGTGGGCTTTACCTGATAAAATTAAAATAGTTTAGTAAGACATGAGCCCCTGACTTTGTGCGTGATGGCAATGTAGAGGCGACTGCGTAACTGGTTGTCCCTGTCCTGCGCGGTGGGGGTTGCCGTGCCGTTAGAAGGAGCGAGGAGGGGTCTTCAGTGCTGGCGAGCGACCGGGGGATGAGAACTCGGAAGAGGAGGAGGAGGAAGGGGGGGAGCGCTACGGGACCCCCACGTCCAAGCGGCCTGGGGCCTCTGTCGAGGATTTCCTCAAGGGCCCGCGCAGGGAGCGGCAGGTGGGCTTGCACAGTCACGTGACCACTCTGTTTTGAATTGAGTTTTCTCATTATTTACGATTCGGATGTATTGTTGATGCACATGTACAGCCCTTGAAGGCCTCCCTACACTATCAACATTTCTCACGATCTCGTGATAAAAGAAACCATCTAACTCCTGCACATGAGCTGAATCCATTGCTCCACCTCGCAGTACGTTGTTATCAATGTAAGACATCCAGTTAAAGCTTCGTCACATTCACGTTGTACCGCGCTTGTCGTCATCGTCCTAGCAGCAGCAGCAGCACTACAGCATGGAGGAGGACGACTTTGGTCAGCAGCATTACGGCTCGCAGAAGGCCTACAAGAAGTCACACTACAAGCCGGGCGTGCCGGCGGACGATTACCGGCAGCCGTGCTATGAGTACGGCCACCAGCAGCACGAGCAGTATGACCTGGAGGAGGAGGAGTACAGCACAGCACACCACGGCCGCTATGGGCCTTCTTCCCCACCAGACGACTACGACCAGGGCCACTACGACCCGGCGATGGATGAGTACAGCCATGCGCGTGGCGGCAGCGGCGGCGGCGGCGGCGGCCGCGGAGGTGGCGGTGGCGACTGCAGCGACGGCGGCGGCGGTCCGGCCGACGAGTACGTGACCGAGAGCAGCCGAGGGTCGGACCTCTCGGACATCCTGGAGGAGGACGAGGAGGAGGAGATGTACTCGGAGAGCCAGCGGGGACACGAGGACGGCCACGTCCGCCGGAGGGCCAGCCTCACTCACGGACAAAACAAGGTGAGCGCACCCACGCGGCGTCGATGCTGGCGGGCATCGCGCCGGCACCCGGTGGTGCGGTGAGCCGAGCGGTGAGCGGGAGCGGAGCGGAGTGCCGCTCGTGGTCACGTGGGGCCAACACGATATTGGTTTACAATCGATTCGTGGGAGTGCGTACACAGACAGCATTGTACCGTGGGTAGTCAACAAGGTCACACGGTGACGCTGTCATTGAGAGGTCCTATTCGAGCTGTGCGTCAGCGATGTGTGCACCTCAATCGCCCACGCTGTGTAAATTTGATACAAACGGTGACCAATGGGCAGCTTTGTGGTCTTTGGTTTTTCATGTTTCAGTTGTTAAGATGTTAAAACGCCAAACTGAAACCTTTTACAAGGATCCATACTCTTTTACAAGGAATCATGTCTGCATGATTCCTTGTGGTCAGAATGCAAACAAAAAACAAACTCTGATAATATATGCATTGTCCTTGAAACTGATTGGTCCACACCACAGACAGCTTTCTTTTGAGCCTCGTCTCAAACGGTGCTAGACCAGAGAATGCCAAAAGGCGTACTACTCAAAGGCAATGCACTATCAGAGTCCCATGATGTAGATGCTCATCCCGAGCTCTCATTACTCTGATAGTGCATTGTCTTTGAGCTGTATGCCTTTTGGCGTCCTCTGGTCTAGCACCGTTTAAGATGAGGCTCAAAAGAAAGCTGTCTCTGGTGTGGACCAATCAGTTTCAAGGACAAAGCATATATTTTCAGAGTTTGTTTTTTGTTTGCATTCTGACCACAAGTATTGTGGTTAATGCAGACATGATTCTTTATTTTAAAAAAGGTTTCAGTTTTGTTGGCAGAAAAAAGGGGAAAACCCTATTCTTATATTTTGGTACTGGCAAAGGAGGTCCCATGATTGTAAATTTATTTTCCGTCAATTCTTTGCTGTACACTTTTTTCACGATTATAATTTCCTTTGCATGCCTGTTACAAATGTTTTCTTTTAATAATTTGCCTTATACTTTTTTCTCTTTTCTTGATTTCCTTTGCGCTGGCTCTTAATTCAAATCTCGTCTCCTACTGGAACACCAAATATGCTGTTCTGGAAAACATAAAAAAAACCATTATTTTACAAAAGCACAAAAAGAACCAGAACCGTAAGGTCCAGGAGAGTGACAGTGACGAGGAGGCATTGGAGAGGCTACTGTCGCTGCCTCTTCGTCAGAAAAGTCGCAAGAACCTCTTCAGTATCCCGGAGCTGAACGAGGAAGACACAGAGCCCGACGTCTTCAAAATGAGCGACGCGATGAGCGTGAGCGTGGACGAGGCCCTGAACCGCGCCGCGGGCCTCGCCGCTGGCGCTCACGGCGCCAACGCCGGCGGCTCCCTGGATCGTGCCAAATACGCCAAGCGACACGTGGCGAGGCGGCGGGAGGCCATGAGGATGGAGGATGCTCTGAGGCTCGTCACGTCCCCCAGGGCTCCTCGGCCGACGAGGGCCCTGCCGGTCCCCCTCACCGGAGCCGTGGAGCTCGGCGACGTCCTGAATCTCGGGGATGCCCTGACACCGGCCGAAGCCTTCCGGCTCGACCGGGCGCTTCGGATGGGCGAGGGCCTCACCGCCGGGATCGACGGCTTGGCGGCCGGAGGCGACGCCAGGTCGGCCAAAAAGCAAGGCAGGGATTTGGCCGCTCGAGGGCGCGCGCCATCGGAGGCCAACCACGTGTACGAGCTGGTGCAGAACATCAGCGTGAGCAACGTGAGGGCGAAGTACTTGCGGAGGATGATGGTGGAGGGCCACAGCGTCGTCCCACCCCTGCACTTGCCCGGGGCGGGGGCTTACGGCGGCCCGGGTGGTAACAAAGACAACGAGATCAGCCTAGAGTATGGCACGGAGGAAGAGAGCGACAGGTCACCCGCCGCTATCGGCCACAGCTCCAGGAAACTCCCTCGGTTGCCGGCGCGCCATAAAACGGTGCCCGTACGCTGCGGCGGTTGCAACGTCAACGGGCGACGGGGTGCTGGGGAGCCGAGCGACTGCCCTGACCTCGGCGAGGAAGGACGAGCCAGGGCCTCGACGCGACTTCGCCGCTTGGAGGCAGAGTTGGCGGGCGAGGCAGCGGCCGCGGCAACCCACAGGGGCCGCCAGTGTGGGCCTGAAGGAGCGGTGGAGGCGGTGGAGGCGGCGGCAGCCTGGAACAGAGGGTGCCACGCCGCTAGCGAGGAGGACGTGGATCAAGATTTCCTGCTTGAGCGGCTCTCAGTGGATAGCCAGGTGCCAGCGGAGCGGTGTCCCTGTGCGGGTGGCTTTAATCTGTAATGCCTCTCAGGCCCGCAGGCTTTACGGTTAAAGTGTCGCCCGCAACAGGCCGCAAAAGTTCAAGCGGGACAATTGCCCGTCGCAATTGTTCGACCGCTCCGCTCCGAACGGAAAATCGATGCGGGGGACGCGGATGTGGCTCTGTGCTTCTCACCGTTTCCTGATGGGTAGTGGCTCCCCTTGCCCCTTTCAGTGAAGATTCCTCTGCCGCCCTCACCCCGACCCTCGCCCACCCTAACCCCGACCCGATAAATCTCCGCCGCTCTCCTACACCGTTTCCATTCTGTGTTGTGCTCGTGAGTTTCTGTGCGCTTGCTTTGCTGCCCTCACTGTGATAGTTAGTGCCAATTAAACACGTTATACTTGACATTTCTATCCACAGTACAACTTACAATCAATGTGTGTGTGTATATATAAAGTTCAAGTACAGCATTGTGAACACAGCATCATGAGCTGTAGAGGAGCCTCTGTGATCGAATTTAGCCGCTCTCGTCTCTCGTTGTTTCAACCGTTGTCAGGACGACGGAAGTGACGTCTGCGTTGTTGAACGACACTTGGCTGAGATATTGCAATGTTATTGAGTACTACAAGCTAGGGCAGGGAGCGATAGTGTGGTGGTTAGCGTACAACTCCTGGCCATGGATAACATTGAGTGGCGAGCGCTATCTGAACCCGTCCCAGGTTACCACCGTTTACCAACCTGCACTGAGCAGTTGGGTCAAGTATGGTCAAACAACACCTGTGATTGACATGGCATGGAGAGGCTTTCATCCAGCAGTGGATTGACAAAAGGCTGCAACATGACAATGCAAGCTTAAGTGTCCAATGATTATTCTCTGCTGGTGATTGTTGAAATTGAGATCTGGGATTCAGTTCAAGATTTCACACATTTTAACATAGCATTGAATGTAGCAGCCTCGAGTGGCTGTAAGGGTCATGGCGACCCTTTACATTCAACGCGTTCAAAGCAGAAACAAATATTTATACCCACACGGACGGAGCGTCCAGCACGAGCATCGATACTAACCGATTAATCGTTTCTACGCCCAGTGCTGTAAACTGATGCAACCCAAAGGGGTCCGTTTGTGAGCTCACCGTCGCTCGGCACGTCCGTCGTGCTGTCCATCAGGGCTACGGAGGAGCCCCGCAGTCCGGAGCGTCGCGACGATCATCGCTGGAGAAGTCCGAGCAGGGACACCGACCGCTCTCGCGCAACCCCACGCCGCCACGCAACCCACGGCCCATGACCGTGCCCTCCATCGGTGAGCGTTGCACTGACGCCTCGCCCGACTCGCCCGGCTTGCCCTGCCGCCCTCTCTCTTTAGTCTCCTGCCCAGTCGCAGCTCCTTGGCTCAAACTCGCTCCATCCTGGCCGTCGTCTCGCGTGCAATTTGACGAGCCGGCATGGAGACACTTTGACTTTTAAAAATAATGATAGTTGACCCGGGGCGGGGTTGCTTGGGGCCATGTTCAGTGACGGGAATTTAAGTTTTTCGCGATGTTATGTTAACAACGGGGGATATTTGTAATGGTGTTACTTATCGCGGTGAGAATTGCTTGGCACGTCGTTTAGCGATGGCAGTAATGGTTGCTGGAGCCGCTGTTGACGACTGTTGCTCCCTGCAGAGATCACAGGCGACAGCAACAGCGAGGGCCGTCCGTCCCCGGACCGCGACGTCGGGTACTACGCCGACGCTGGGGCCCGCCGGGGCCGCCCCTCTCGGAGAGGTGAGGCCCCCCCCCCGCACACCTCGCCTCTGCGTCACCCAAGGTTCGAGCGTCATCAGCCTGAGCCTCTTCTGCCAGGACCTTCTCCCGTGTCCGTTCATTATCGTACCACGGAAATTCTGAAAGTAGATTTTATAGCAATACACAACAGGAAACCCGACTTCAACTTTACCAAGTGATGAACTTAAAATGCCAAACTGTACGGTAGTTGCCAGACAGTGCTATTAATCGAGGTTGAATTGTATTTTATTGATGGTTATTTAGTTATAAATTAGTAATGAAATATTAGGATTATTTTCTAACAATGCAAAGGAAGATGGGAAAAAATTGTACAGTATGATTATGAAAACAAGCATCTTGCTGTACATTAATAGTTGCTTTTTTTAATATTGTGTTTCAGTCTCGGCCTGGAGAGGCTTTCATTGCGCAGACGATTGACAAAGAGCTGTAACAATCATGATTGTAACTGTAATTATTCATCATCATTAAGTCCTCTTGATGCTTGTTGTTGTTATTGTTGTTGTCGTTGTTCCCGTCCCGGCTGCCGCGTCCCTGCATGCCGCTAGGCTGGCGGGAGGAGAGCGAGCTGGACGGAGGCTACGACCACCGGAGGCTCCGCATCTTCGTGGGTCTCTTCGACTACGACCCCATGACTATGTCCCCCAACCCGGACGCCGCTGACATCGAGCTGCCCTTCAAGGAGGGGCAGATCATCAGGGTGAGCGCTCTGCATGCGTGGACACCGCTGGTGGACTGGAGCAGATGGCAGCCGTAGCAGGATCGTAGCCACGGCCAGAGCATCGGGTGCAGAAATATTGTCTGGGTCGCCAAGACGGACAGACCCGGCTTCGATTACATGCCGGGGCATTCGGCTGACGGCGCGTCCCGCATACGCGTTCCCGCAGGTGCACGGCGAGAAGGACGGGGACGGCTTCTACCGCGGAGAGGCGCTGGGCCACATGGGGCTGGTGCCGTGCAACATGGTGTCTGAGATCGAGGCCGACGAGGAGACCGCGTCGCACCTCCTCAAGCAGGGCTTCCTGCCGCCCAACTCTGGCGTCGAGAGGAAGGGTAAAACGAAGGCGACCGATTCGGTCGCTCGTCTTACTTCCCCACCCCCCGACCTCCCTATGGCCCCTGTGAAGCTCTTAGCTTCAGAACTATGGCCAGGAACTCCCTGTCGCTGGCCGTGGTGCTGTGAACTGCTGAGCGTTAAGGGGCCACAGTCTCATAAGAAATCACAGGAGACAATCGCATGTGAAGTCACAGCCTTGACATGGAAGTATCAGGAGGCCCTGGTTCACGCCGCAGGGGTTTTGTTTTTTGGTTTGTACCGCAGGTTTACGATACGCGGCACAACCCAAAAACACTTCGGAGAGCTGCAGAACACAACAGCGAAAACCCACGCAGTAATATTTCATGCGTTGACAGCAATAGTTTATGCATTCAGCATGGTAATGATGTTTGTCTTGTATACATGATACCTGTACACTGTGCGTTTATGTACATATATAGTGCACATATGAAACGTCTGGGAATGTTATTAAATTTGAATAAAAGTGAAGATTTGTGGCATGTCGCCTGTAGAGTATTAAATAGTAAGTTTAACCGTCGTAAAAAGGAATACGTCCCAGATGATTCAGATTCAAATACCACGTGATATGGAATGACATAAAATGACAATTCTAATATATCCACTACAGTGTATATATGTATGTGCGTGTCACCAAATACAGTAGCCGGGTACGTTTATATTCGTGTCAAAATCCGTTAACGGGGTATGAATTGCACTGCCTTGCGAATCATGAACACAGTGCGATCCACGCGCCGGGCACAGTTTCATGAACACTTATTTGCGCATCATGAGCACAGTGCGATTCATGAATGCAGTGCTGGTTCATGAGCACAGTGCCTTTCATGATCGTAGCACAGTTCATGAAAGCATCGTTTGCCGCGGTTCACGAGCACGAAGTGATTCATGAGTGCGGCGGTTCACGATATTAGCGCGGTTATCGAACGCAGCGTGCTTCGCGAGCACAGCGCGGTTCACGGACACACCGTGCGATTCATGAACGCAGGGCGATTCATGAGCGTAGTGCATGCACCGCGGGCGATGCTCATCCACCGTCGGGCGACCGCACCCATGGCACAGCTCCACCACTCCACCGCGCTCACACGTGGAGGCCTGGCTCTGGCCCAGCTCTTGTGATTGATGCATGCATGCAGCCAGCATCCCCGAGTCTCAGTAGAGGCCAAAGTTGGCCCCGTGTCTCCGAGCCACGAGGGAGGGTGAGGGCACGTTAATTCGCTGTCGTGGAGAAATATTGGAGGGTGGCATCACTTCGCAAAACAAAAAAAAACATCGCAGCTGCGTCACTCGGTGGCGTGCGTTCGGTAGCGTAGCTCTCACAGTGTGCCGGTGGTGCTCCAGCACCGGACAACCACAGGCGGTGGGCTACAAAGAGTTGGGAAGTTGACAGGGGCCCCGATTTCATTCTTTGCACGAGGGCCCTTGTCAACCGCACTACGCCACTATGTGTATTCCTCCTCTCGCGTGTATGCGTGAGCACGCGTGTATGTGTGCATGCGTGCACACGTGTGTATGTGTGTACGTGGGGAGCGGTGGCACAGTGGTTTGTGCACTGTGCTATGAAACCCGGCAACCTGAGATTAATTTCTGGCCGTGGTTAACATCAGTGGCGAGTAATATCTGAAGTGGTCCTGGGTCTCCCCTAGATCAACTTATATTCAAATGAGCACCTGGTGCGGTGTATAAACATCAGCATTGGGGGGCCGGGTGTAGTGTTGGCCACACTAACTCCTTATGTTCCATGTCAGCCCAAATAGGTCATTGTTATTAGTGCTTGCCCCAACAGTCTGGCTACATGTGGGATCTTTGTTTTTGTGTGTGTGTGTGTCCGTGTGCGCACGTGTGTGTGCACGCAAATGGCCTCTGATTGGCTCTCTCTGTCTCTGTCTCCCTCTCTGCCTGTGCATCTCTGCGCTGTAGTCATCCGAGAAGCTTACAGGGAAATTGCACGCTCACTGAGCAGGAGGTCCAAAAAGTCCAAACGAGGTCGGCACTTCCAAATTTAAACTTTTAATCATTCTTCGCTTTTTACGTTACTTTTTGAATTATTGTTCCACCTTGCTTTCTGCGGCTTTTGGTGTTCATCATCACATTCATTTTCCACCTGAGGGAGGTGTGTTCCACGTGCATATTCACAACATTGCCCAAGTCTATGCGCAGCGAAGCAGAGTTTCAATTTACCTTTGCGTTATTTTACGTCCAGTTTTCCGTCGTCACAAGACGTGACGTTCCTCCGACGTGTTTTCATCACGATGTCCGACGTTTCGCTGCACGTGCTCAGAGCATCTTCAGCACGTGGAGCGAAACGTTAGACATCGTGCCGAAACAAGGCGCGCGGTACAACCCAAAAGAGCGTCGGAGAGCCGTACAGCTCAACCGCGAACATATCCGCGTGGACGATGCTTGATACCGATAACGACATTGAAACGTGTTCCCCGTTGTTTGGCGAACGTGTGCTTTCTCGGCTGCCTGCATAGACTTCTCGTCTCCGATGAATCTGCATGTTCCCACGTGCCGTCCTGCAGGAAAGGCTCGCAGCTGCTCACAATTAATTGTACCGCTTGTGTTTGGACGGAGCGAATCTTCCTCTCGCCTAACCGTGACTTCACCGCGCATTCCCATCGCTTCCCTGTTTGCCCTGCGAAACATCCTTGACTCAATGCCTTGGTGACGCCGATAGGTCGGTATGCGTTGGCAGCCCAAATCATGGCCTCTCGCCGTGGTGAGTTTCTGTGGTCCGTCTTGAGTACGGGCGATGGACCAACTCTCGCCTGCATTTGGCAGCGGTCATTATGATTGAGTTGTTAACACATTTGTGAAAACCCCGCAGGGTTAATTTAAGACACGCGCACCCGCACGCAGAATTCCGCCTGTAGGTGTATTCTGTGTCGCTCTTGAAACCGGACTAAATTTTTTAAACTGGAAGTGCATCGCGACGCATGCATCAACGCAGTTGCGTTAACGCCATCGGGTCGAATTTTTCACGCTCCAAGTTTGTATAGCTTTTTTGTGCAGGTCATCGCTTTTTCCTGTGATCCCGTTGTTGGTCTCGCAACTGCAGCACTTGGGCTGCGTTAATGGCCAACGCTGTCGTGCCTACACGCAGATGGATTAGCGAGTGGGTCCTCCGAGCTGAGTCGTGATGAAGCAGTCAACACTGAACGAGGGCTTGTGAGCTTTATTTCTGAATTCACGTTGGTGTCGGTGAATCGGTTTGATTACACTCCCACAGCAGGAAGCATTTTCTTTATCCGTGTAAAATGTTCATGTTGTGCAAAATCTGAGAAATACGATATAGTTTTGGACGTTAATATTGACTCTGATAGAACACTATGGGTGGAGTGGAAGGTAGAGCGCGTGGTTAGTGCCTTGCACTATGAACCCGGTGACCTGAGTTCGATTCCCGGCCACGGCAAGTCACGTGAGAGCCATTCCTGCCCTGCCCCAGTGCACCAACCCGCACTGACCAGCGTGAAGTATGGTCAAAAAACCCCACAACAACCCAGGACTAACATGGCCATGGGGAGACGTTCATCCATTTTGGTGGATCGAGAATGGCAAGAGTGACCGAGCTCACTAAATTTAGACATTCTGTTGCTGCAGTGACGGACATCGTTTCGCGGGCCGTTTTGAAGTGTTCGGCCTCTCATGTGAAATGAAGTCGTGGGTTGATTTGGCACGAGGGTCATAGGTCACCCCACCCCTGGTGATTGGCTGAAGGTTGGAGGATGTTTAGACGAGGGGATTGTGATGATGCTTCAGTGAGGGAAGTGATTTGATGAGGAGATGCGACGATGTTTATTTGAAGGTATGGACCATGAAAAGATAAGGAGGTAGACTATATTTTAGTTGCGATGATTGATTATATAAAGGGGATGCGATCTTGTATGGACGATGGATAGATGAGGGGATGGACGATGCATATGTGAGATGTGGTGATGTCTTGGTGAGGGGATGTGATGATTTGGAGATGAGGGGATTATGATGATGATGATTATTATGATGATGATGACGTTGCTGCTTGGGCTGTAATTATGTTTAGATAAGCAAGAGATGCTGTGTAGCTGTGGTTACGTTTGGAAGGATGATGTAAATATGAAGGGGTGATGTGTAGATGAGGAAGTGATGATGTGTAGATGAGGAGATGACCATGTATAGATGATGGGATGATGACGATCACGCATAGGTGAGGAGATGTCAACGTTACTCTACGGGATTTGAGCGTGAGGGTGTGCGGGATGTGTCGACGAGGGGATGATGATAATGACGTATGGATAAGGGGATGATGATAATGACGTATGGATAAGGGGATGATGATAATGACGTATGGATAAGGGGATGATGATGATGGTGTACAGATGAGGGGGTGCTGATGATGTATGGATGAGGGGGTGCTGATGATGTATGGATGAGGGGGGGATGATGTCTCCACGAGGGGATGATGACGATGACGATGTTACCGTGAGCGGGACACGCGTGTGGTGCTGCCCCCCCCCCCTATCCGCCCCTGCCCCCGTGGTCTGCTGCCCTCTTTGCAGAGCGGAACCGCGCGGGAGGCCGCCTCGCCTCGGTGGCCACTCGACGCATGGTGGCGCTCTTCGACTACGACCCGAGGGAGAGTTCCCCCAACATCGACATCGAGGTGCGGGCCGGGTGGCCGGGCAGCATATCTCACACACGGCGGCGCCATCATCACTGCCGTCATCGTCGTCGCTGTTGTAATCACAGTCACTGCCATCATCACCATCGCTGTTGTAATCACAATCACTGCCATCACCATCATCGCTGTTGTAATCACAATCACTGCCATCACCGTCATCGCTGTTGTAATCACAGTCACTGCCATCACCATCACTGTTAGAATCACAGTCACTGCCATCACCATCGCTGTTGTAATCACAATCACTGCCATCACCATCATCGCTGTTGTAATCACAATCACTGCCATCACCATCACTGTTGTAATCACAATCACTGCCATCACCATCACTGTTAGAATCACAATCACTGCCATCACCATCGCTGTTGTCGTTATAATCACAAGTACTGCCATCACCATCGCTGTTATAACCACAATCATTGCCATCATCACCATCATTGCTGTTGTCGTTATAAGGGGCCGTCCATAAATGACGTCACGTACCTGGGGGGGGGGGGTCAGACATTTGTGACGATGTGTGACGAGGGGGGGGGGGGTTTGAGAAATGTGACGTCACATCAAAATGCGCAACTTTAAATATAAACAACACGTTCTACTTAATTATATAGAATTGTTATAACAACACTAATTTTGATTTAAAGCTTTCGTGACTGCAGGGATTCATATTCTTGGTTTTTTCGGTAAAGTCACGTAGAAGGGAAAAATAAAATATTTTGTATTATTTTATTGTTTCCCTTCTACGTGACTTTACCGAAAGAACCAAGAATAACACTAATTTTGATTCATTTTCATTATTAACTATTTGATTATTTAAATTAGCTAAGGTCACCTTTTATATATTCCATGAGGGAGCATTTTGCTTCTCTATCGGAGAATGGAGAAGCAAAATTTAGTTATTAAACATTTAGATTTTAATTATTCTACCAGGGTATTTTCATTCTGTGGAATGAATGTGATTGTTATAATTGTACTCTCCATTTTGCTTCGTTCTACTACAAAGTTTCAAGTATTTTTTGTTATAGTTATAATTACTTTTAATATATGATAAGAGATTTTCAATATAATATTCTGAACATCTTCAGTTTTAGTTAGACGATTAATACTCTTTGGTTCTTTCGGTAAAGTCACGTAGGTATAAAATAAAATATATTTATAAAAAAATTAAAATATTTTTTACTTTATTTTTCTAACTACCACGTGACGACTTTACCGAGAGAACCAAAGAGTGTGGATTCCTGCAGTCACGAAAGCTTCAAATCACGATTAGACGATTCATATTTTCAAGTGAATTTTATGCAAAATTTCAGCTTTCCAACGCCTCCTTTTTAATAAATGTTTTCGCCTACAACATCAGAGTGCAGCGCCACATTAAATACGCACTACAATTACGATAGTTTAAAGCGATTTGAAGCATGTTTAATTTTCAAAATGGAAATATGGTTTTGGGGGGGGGGGTCAAAAATCGTCAAAAAACGCGTGACGTCATTTATGGACGGCCCCTAATCACAATCACTGCCATCACTATCGCTGTTGTCGTTATAATCACTGCCATCATGATTACTAACACCACTTTCAACATCACTACCAACCACGATGTCTCCATCCGGCTGGTTGGCACTCTGAACTCACAATCAGGCGGCTACATATTAAGTGTTGATTAGTGGTCGACTCCAGGGTCGATACAATTACAGTAGTACCGTGTTGTGTGTGTTGGTGACCTATGGATGGACTGGCCTCGGCCACAAGAATATGGAATATATGCTGCAAGATCAGGTCTACCAATGGAGATGATGACCCTGGTTCATGCACATTTGAGCGGGGACATATTGTGATGTGACCATTAGTTCCACCTTGGGGTCAGCTGAGTTTGATTCCTGGCCAGGGCTAAAATCAGCAGCAAGTGATATCTTAACCAGTCCTGTTTCTCCCTTCAACGGACTATAACATTGCATTATATAACGATTGCCACTGTATTATTATTGTTACTACAATGTTGTCATTGCTAATGATAATTATTGATCAATAAGTGGCTGTGAGTGACGAGGTTGTTGTGTGTGTGTGTGTGGGATGAGGTGTTGACGAAGCATTCCTCTGCCTCAGATGGAGCTGACGTTCTGTGCGGGCGACATCATCTTCGTGTACGGGGAGATGGACGAGGACGGCTTCTACTACGTAGGCCGGAGTCCGCCCGGCGACGCGCGCTCGCAGCCACGCACTCGCACGACCGCAGCAACCTCGTCGCGTGTCCTGTCGCTTGCAATCATTACTCGATGATGAGAACGCCGTCGCATGAAAGCAAAGCGCTCGTCCCGCTCTCTAACAGCGGCGGGGAGCCTACAGCGCACGACCGCTTCACAGCGGCCCGCCGACGATGTGTATCCGGCGCTGCGAGCACCGTAGCCGTGCTAATCGCGTCCTGGAGGGGGGAGTATTTTCTAGCTGGCAACAACACCGTGTTTCTAAATTGAGCGCACCGAGTCACTTGTTACTGCAGTGGCCTCTTGCAGTGGCAGAAGTGGCTGAGGTGTGTGATGATATGTGGTTGCCCATCAAAGGTATTTGAAAGTCCTCTTTAGCGCTCGGCATAGAAAAGATTCCTCACCTCTGCTTCGCAGGAACGAACAGAAAAGAAGTCGCTCTTCTCTTGCGGATACACACCTGGGTTGTGTGTGTCTCGGGCTGTCTGACAAGGGGTCTGCAACTTTGTTAATGAGAAAAAAGACTCACCTTAATTAGCCACTGCATTATAGTACTCTAGTGACATCACTAGGACATCACTCTCATACATTTTAATATATCAAATGGAGCAATGTCACGTGATACGATGATCCTCCGTGACAGCTCATAGTAAGTTATTTATACTTGACAACAGTGACTGATGCTCTGGATTATAGTCTCCCATAATGCGGTACAGTATTTAAAATTTCGGCATTGAATATATTTTCTCGTTGACATAATGGCCGATACAGTTGTTAATATATAGAGTATTTCTCACCATTTATTATAAACTTGATGCATTTGTGTAATATATTCCACATTGGCGTGTGCATGTGGATGACGCGTAGATGTGTCTGTGTTTATTCTTCTGCCATGCGGTTGTGCTGTGGACGCAGGGAGAACTGAACGGAATGAGAGGCCTTGTTCCATCGAACTTTCTGGAGGAAGTTCCAGACGATGTAGAGGTAACGCCCGGAGCACAGATGCCCGCCACATCAATGAGGATCGTGTGTGTGTCTGTGATGGAGAGTGCGTGTGATGCAGCACGGTTGTGATGGAGGCTTGCTCTGTCATGAAGGCTGGTTTCGTGGATTAGGGTTGTTCTTCCCTCTGTATGAGTTGTTCACGTCACAGAATAAGTAAATGTGCAGTGACTGCTTGCCCAAGCCTTTTCTCTTTGGCCATCTAGAGAGGGATACATGAGTGTGGCATGGACAAAGGTTGATATGGTTTGGGGGAATTGGAGCTGAGTGGACTTGCCGATGTCAAGATCGGCCTACTGGGCAGTTGCAGGCCCATAACAGCTGGGTCTGTCCCGTGACTTTTTTCAAGGGAGCATTCCACACTTCACGTGACGGCCTCAAAGTGCACCTAGCCTGGCTAAAGTGCTTTGGTGACGTCAGTATCACGTAGTGGCAAACGGCGGCCGTTGGAGTTGTAGGTGCGTGTACGCATTCCACAGGTCACACTGAGCGAGGCAGGCACCTCGCCGCCCCTATCGCGATACCCGCCCCCGCTACGCGACTCCCGGGATCCGCGCGAGCGGAGGGACCCCCCGCACCGCGACCCCCACCGCGACCCCCACCGCGAACCGCCGAGGGAGCCCCCGCGGGACCCCCACAGGGAGCCCCCCCACAGGGAGCGGGAGGCACGCGAGCCCAGGGACCTTCGCGACCTCCGTGACCCCCGCGACGCCACTCACCGCAAAGATAAACGGGTACGGTGCCAGCTCGCGAGCCGCTCTCCGCCTGGATCTGGGAGCATCGGCTGTGTCAGCTACCTGGTTTGTGGTTTTGGGACAAGGTCCCGGTCAGGTCACCGGTTCAGGATGGGGATCAGAGTCGGGGTGAACCATCCAAGGTTTGAGTCGGCTGACCAGTTTGGAGTTGTGGTTCAGATCAGAGGATCAGTTCAGAATGGAATTTGTTAAGGCCGATAGACCAGTTCTGGGTGTAGCTGGTGTGAGGTCGTGACCGAGGTCAAGGACACGATCAACCTGTGACCTTGCAAACGATGAGGATCGTGGTGCAAAGTTAGCGGCTGTGAAGGTCACACGGGGCATGGAGAATCAACACCGAATTAAAATGACAGCGTGATCAGACAGCCTAATCAGCGTCATATAAAATTTTACTGTGCTTGTATATGGTATGAATATGTTTGTAAACTTTGAGTTTAATTGATTAATGAAATAATGTACAGTATTTGTGTATTTGTGCATGTTTGTCTTTGTCTTATGTAGTGGGGAGCAGTAGTGTAGAGGTTAGTGCGTTGCGTGACGAACCTGGCGATCTGAGTTCAATTCCCGCTCACAGCCATCACCAGTGAAGATTATCTGAACCAGTCATGAACCTCCCCTAGGTCGACTCAGTCTCAAATTAGTACCTGTTGTGGTGTGTAAACATCGCCACTGGGGAGACAAAGGCGGCCCGGTGGGGTGCTGGCCACCCACCCCCTCGTGTGCCGTGCCGGCCTTCATAGGTGCTCGCTAACAGCACTTGCCCCAACAGTCTGTTCAGGCTGTACGGGGAATCTTTGTCTTTGTTTGCTTTTATGTTGCTCAACTCGTTAATAAGTCTATAGCGGGACAATCAATTCCTACTGTGTGGCTCTGTGCGTGTGTATGCGCGTATGTATGTGTATTTGGAGTGCGTTGGTGCAATGGTTAGTGTGCTGTGTTACGAACCCAGAAAATGGAGTTAGATTCAGGCAGTCGGAGGGCTGTGAATTGTGATATACCGACAGTCCAGCCCTCGTTGCGTAACCCCGGTCAGGCAGTTGCTGCCGCTGGCACGAATCCCCTGCGATGGCACACGCATGCATTTACTGTGAGAAGTGAATGCTTGGAATCTCTTCCAGGGGAATGCTCATTGTCAGGAAAGAGACTCGTAGGGCTGCCTAGGACTGACGCCCGGGTTCTGTTGGATGTGGCGTCGTGCTGCTGCATGTGTCCAATCATTGTCCGCTTTAATTTGTCCCTCTTCACCAAACCCTAACCCCCAGGACTGCCCATAGGTGGGGGGGATAGGGGCAATTTGGTCTAGGCCTCACAGAAAAGAGGGCCCCAAAACGAGCCTATGTTATTGTCACGAATGAATAAGGAGAGACCCCACGAAGCATCGTGCCTCGGGACTCACTCCAGGAACCCCTGGGCAGCCCTGCTAACCCCAACCACATCACGTCTCACTTTTATTATCTCTCGTCTGGTTTTGCTCATGCTTTTTTTCAGTTCGTTTTGCCTTTTTAGTTCTCTTGTGTCCTGTTTGGCTGCACACCATGTAACTGTTTTTTTGTTTGTTTTATTCTCTTCTGCCATCCCGTCGCCGCCTGCAGAAGAAGAGCGTGCATTTCACACGCTAACTAACACTGACCTAGTAGGAGCCACGTAAGTGTGCCAGACTCGGCGAAGGTACCTTCCAAACCCGGGGCTCAGGTTAACGCAGGCTGCCCAGGTGCGCTTGTCCGTTTTCCTCATTTTCAGTTCAGCGGGCATGCGAACTCGCCAACTTCGTGCCGTGCCTTACCCTCAGCCCTGGGATCCGCTTGCGGCTTGCCGGCAGCGCACGTAAACCAAACGCGGCTTTTGCGTTCGCATTGAGGGCCAACGATTTACAGTGAAATCCAGACCATCGCCTACTGCCATCTGGGCCCCCGCATTAAAAAATGCGAATCGCGAGAGAGTGCGACGCTCTCATTGCCGTTCATTCATTTAAGACTGCTCCTGCACTGTAAGCAGCCGAGTCCTGCGGTCCAGTATTTATTTTGTGGGGGTGGTGACCCTGGGCTGTAATTGGAGTGTCCTCTTCACACCGCCCTGGCTATAGCTGCTGCACGACAAGTCGGAACGGATGTCAGTTGACCTCGTACAAAGGTATCTTCATCCAGCTCGGCCGGTTGCTGTAAGATTCGAGATGTACAATGATGCGTGCTACCTCGTGGTGTGCGTGAGACGATGCTGCAGTTAAGGAGGAAAGAGTCAAGTGGGATGAAAAAAAAGATATCGGTTCGATTGCCGCACGACAAATGTCGCTAGAGCTGAGCGTGTGAGGTGCATCGCCCAGTGAGGATAACGTCGCCTTCCAGAGGCCGTTCTCTATGACGGGGCGACGCACTGCTTCCTGCGAGCTGGGAATTACGCTTTTGTTTCATGACATGATGCCGGTGGCCTCATTGGGATGTGCAGCAGACACGTAAGCGATGCAGTTCTGCGCTTCGCCGCGCGAGGTAAGGCGCTTAAGCCAGTTCTGCTGGGTTTATTTTCGGTTACAAGTGGGGCCATCCTCAGGGGAAAATTGCGTTTCTTTTCTCGATTTGATAAATCTCAGTCACGCAGCATGGTATTCAATCGCTCGTTTAATGACATCACGCGCTCGTCAGACCTTAGCATGAATAAAAAAATAAGTTTTGCTGATGTTTCAAACTTATCAAAGCTAATGTTTAATGAAGATGACCTTTCAGCACTCAAGTTGTTTTTTTTGCTGCGTTTCTGTTCTCTGGCAGTTAAAATTTTTATTGCGATCACACCGAGGCACGTTCCGTCCCAATGCAGTTTTATTTCCATTGCATTACTTTCCTCCTTGAAAATTAAACCCACGATGCCTGGGAGAAAATTCCATTTACCAAGATAATACAGCAGTCAAAAAGCATCGGTGTCCATCTCACAAGGGCGTAAAATCGCCTTTCGATTCCTGGCATATCAAGCTGATGAAATAACCGCAGCAATACAGTACATTGAGATTCACGATGCCTAGTAGAGTTTACATAATGTGGTAAATGGGATTTGAGCAAACTTTAGTTGCCAATTCTGGTGTTCATTTACATTTTTAGTTTTGCTGTGCCGTGCCTGATATTTTACACAGTACCAGCTGTGTACCGTGGGATGTTGTGCATTCGACAGTTTGTAACAATCACGCCATAGATGTGTTACTTTTACTGTGAGCAAATGGTCACGTTCCAATTACAATTCTCGGCCTGTGAATCGCACAAAACAACAGTGCATATTCCAATTTAGGCCTTGCGTTGTAATAACTCACAAGCATGCCCAAAATTATAGTAAATTTAACACGTCTATGATACAATGAAGTCAGTAATGTACAACCAATTAAAGAACAAAACGACTTACATTTAAATTGATAAATTGTCGATCTCTCTGCCTCCGTTTTCATTCATTTGTTTCCCTCGCGGTATGTGGCCTCAGGCGGATCGGGCGGCCAGGATGGGCGCCTCGAGGGCGATGACCTCTTCGTCGCCGGGGTCCTCGTCAGCCGGGTCACCTACGCGCGCACGCAGAGCAGGCAGCCCGTCGAGCAGCCGGGACGGCTCTCCGGGGAAGCGGCGCGGCCTTCTGTCCAAGGGCAAGAAGCTGCTCAAGAAGCTCGGCAAGTGAAGAGGGTGGTGGCCCTTGGCGATGGATGATGAGGAAGAAAGAGGTTGGCATTAGAAACTGCCGAAGAGCGGAATGATCATAACCCCCACGAGACGTCAAAGAATTGTCCTTCACAGTTGTTTAGAAGGTAAACGAGTGGCAGCGACGACTTTAAGTGCACAAAGCGGAGAAGAAAACGGAGTTCCTCTACTCTGTGGGGGTTCGACCGCGATTGCATAGATGCCCACATTTGGACTTCTTCATGCCAAACGAGAGCCCACGTAAAAAGGACATTTGAATTTCCATGCACCGATGCATTCCTTTATATTCTCCAGCATGTGTTGTAGCATACAGTGTCGCTGCGTTGTGGTTTTGGACAAATGCGGAGGAACCTGCGGTTGTGGACGTTGGTGATATTTACAGGGGGATTCCAAGGAAATTGGTGCATTTTGCACGGGAATGGCCGAAACACCGTGGACACGGACATTCACCGGCGGCAAAAAAAAGCACCCTGCAGCAGTGCCCAAGAGCTCCAAGATGTAGGGCTTTGTTGAATCTCGTTTAAGTTGCATTCTTGAGGGTTAAAGACGTTTATTTTTAAATCATTGTTTAAAAAAGAAAAAAAACCTGCTTCTAATTTTACCAAATACACAATTGCAATTTCAAAGGAACGTGTAAATCATCCTAACAGGACAAGCAATCACCATCAAGGGACTTGTGAGCCCCCCTGCCGTGCAGCTACTTGGGACAGCACACCTAGGGTCCGTGCCAGGATTGGGAAAGCGTGTGTTCGTGCGTGCGTGCGGTGCGGTGCGTGGGAGTGAGCGAGTGTGCGCTCGTTAGCGTGCGAGAAGCTGTGCCTAAAGATGCGAGGGAGTTGCTGCTCTGCGCCTGACGCCGACAAAGCCACGGTGCGGACATCTCGGCGGAAAGGATCCGTGTAATAAGTTTGTATTTGTGCTGCATTGGACCTCGAACTTATTCCTGTTTTGTCGTGCGGCGGAGATGCAACGAAGGTGGCAAAAAAATACATAGTTTTTATGCACAAAAAAATTCATTTTCAAATGTTCACGTGCAACGGACCTGACGAATATGAACCATGTGCATGAAGTGAATGTCCCCGCCGTGGGGTGTGGTGCCCACGCTGCCCCAGCTCTGACAAGCCATCGCTCCACACCACCACTACAGTGTTCCCACAACGCCCCGTGGACCAACGCGACGCACGGCTGAGTCAAGCCCGCTTCCGTGTTCTCTGCTTTAAGTGATAACGATGGCCATATTTACAAGTCTAAGCCTCAGGGTTAAACACACGTACGTACACAGCATGTCGGCAGACTCTGCCCAGCCTTAAGTGCGCAGTTTTCCCCTGGGATTCGGATTCTGCCCTCTTGCCAGTAACTTTCGGCAGACCTTCCTTGACCGTCCTGTGCTTGAAGCAGTATTAGTCGCTCTGTATCCCACGATATTACCGTACACTACAGTGCATCCGTGTTGCACCCCTAAGATTCGTTCAGTGGTGGTAACAAACGCGGCACTACCGTGCTCATCCTCACTGCGTTAGGCCGTGGTGGTGGTGGCCCCTGACCCTTCCCAGGTATTGCACCCTCCTAGAGTTCTCCTTTTTAAAGTCCCATTGAGCGTCACTGCGTTCCATGACCGTCCACGGTGCTTAATGTTAGTTACAAAAAAGTGTTAGCAGAATTCCAGATTCATATCAATGTCACATCTGTGTTTGTGCCGCTGGTGAAAGATGGCATCAGTATAGAAGAGGACCCCGGCAGTGTGGTCTCAACCCGATGGGTGAATGTCCTTTCAGACGTCCCTGCGCTTACACATTGCAGATAACGCGTGCTGGTGACCGATAGCAAAAACAACCTGTAAATGTTGCTGCCACCCACTACTAGGCCACGTACTCGCTAACCTCACTCCAGTGACTCTTGCGTGCCGCCCCCCCCCCCCCCCCCCCCCCGTACTACTGTGTTGACATTTTTGGGCAATGCAAAAAAAACTAACTTTGGATTGAGTTTCTGACCTTTTCTAAACTTAACTTTTACAGTGAATGGCCATAGCACACGGCGGAGGCTGTAGTCTTATACAAAAATAGCATGCTCGATTGTCACTCTACTTGTGCTTCTTTTGTACATTTTTTTTTTAAAAGAGGCCTGTTTTATTCGTTGTTTTCCCAAACACCGGACTGTAACGCTACCCTATGTGTTTATGAAGGCATATGGGAGCCACGTGTGAGGCACAGTGGCGGTGGAGAGATGGGGCGAGTGGTTGCGACACAGTCCAGACCACGCGGGAATGGGAACCAGGTTTCCCGGATTCTTTTGCCCCTCGAGGCTTGAAGAGTCGAGTGTGAGAGTGTACGTTTGTGAATGTGCAATACCAATTGTCGCATATAATTTGTTCAACATTCTTTTCAATAATACATTCTCGGAGCAGAGCACACCACGGGGTATATATAGTACTTTAAATGGATGTGTTTAAACACAGCAGTGATCTTACCAAATAATTTCCAGACATTGAAGATTCATGTCTCAGTTTTGTGATCCTGTTAAAAATGTAGGAATTTAGCACGTTGTGCAATGCTGAAAGAAATTCCACTAATCCTTATAAATATTCTTGAAGTCAAATCAAACTCCACATTGTGATTGAGACTACATATCCCCCCCCCCACACACACAGGATTAACAGTTTAAACATCGAATAATATAGACGTTTTTACAATTCCATCAAACCTGCTGGATGGCTTGGTGGTGACAGCACTTCACTCGTGGTCAGACGGTTGCGAAAACAGTGAGCACATCATCCCTCTGCCGTCGGTAAAATAAGTGGGAAGTTAATGGCGGTTGGCCTTTGGAGAGACTGGCCTCTGGCAATGTGCATGTAGAATTTCCACCACCGGCTAAGAAACCGCAGATGGAGATCAGCGCATCTATTGCTCGTTCGTTACCAGGGCTCTTCATACAATGGTGGGTAATTGCCTTTGTGTCTAACAGCCGTGGGCTAATGGCGAGATCTGAGGTGAGGCTTGCTGCGTACGTGTTTACAGGAACGCCAACTGCTGTCCAGCACTTTGCGTGCATGGGGCTTGCTGCCCCTTGGCTGCGGCTGCCCACCGGGTTGTCTCTGCTCGAGAACCTCGTCGGTGGGGGAGGCCGACCGTTACTGCCGAGACTTGGGGATAGGAAGAGGGCTCTCGCTTGGAGGTTTTCCAGTTAACGGTCCTAGGAGTTTGCGCTGGAGGGTGGCTGCTGATGCTGCGCTTTGTCACCGCATGCGCCTGGATAATTTCCAGGGCTCCCCAGAGCTGGGTGGGAAAATCTGCATTTTGGCCCGGACCTCACGCAAAAAGAGGGCCCCTCAACGAGCCTGTTTCTTTGGCCACAAATGAATGAAGGGGTCCCACATGGCATTTCTACCCTGGGCCTTCAACCCCGGGCATCCTGGAACCTCTGGGCATCCCTGAAATTTGCCTGTTTCAACAGGAAGATGCTTTGGCAGCGCATTTGAATGGTCTCTGCTTAAGCTTTAACTTTTACATTTTTTATTCTATTCTGGATTTATGAAGCGCCTTTCACTGGGGACCTTGACAATGCTTGTCGACTAGTACAAAATGGCAAAATAAGGGAAGGATGGGCTAGTACTGCCGTTAGTAATCAGGTTTGGAAAAGGACTGAGATATGGCAGCAGGGGAAGGAGGCGATGGTGCAGGGGGTTGAAAGAGGAATGGGTGGAGCGTGATAGTGCATGAGGCTGATAGAAGGGGGTAGCGTGAAGGTGGATGGTATGATATGAAAGTGCACGAAATGATTGAATGGGTTGCTAGGCTGAGCGTAAATGAGAGTAGATTGAGGGAGCAGGGGCAGTGGTGGTGTGGTGGCCAGGCAGTTGGGCTGCCCTCAAGCAGGGTTCAGGGAACAAGAGGGTAGGGGCACTGATTAGGGGTGAGGTAGGGCTCGGGGAACATGGGGAATGGGGTAATGCCTAGGGTGGAGGGAGCGAGGAGGAGGCTGGGGCTGGGGAGGTGTTAGGGGCATTAGGTGGTGCAGGTGGAGGTGGCTGATGAGGAAGGGAAAGAGATAGGACCTGAGGGCAGAGCGAAAAGAGGAAAGCGAGGGGGAGAGTCGGATGTGGACAGGGAGTTTGTTCCAGTGTAAGGGGGCAAGTAGAGAGAAAGAACGAAAGCGAGACTGGGCGCAGGGCGGCGAAGAGACAGCAAGAAGCTTGTGACCGGAATGGACATTATGGGACATTTCAGGAAATGAGAGAAGAGAGGTAAAAGGGGGGGGGGCAGTCTATGCAAAGCTTTGAAAACCAAGGTGAGCAATTTAAAGAGACAGTGGTGATAGATCGGAAGCCGATGAACTTATTGAAGGAGAGGGGAACAAACAGAGGTGAAGGGAAGGTTAAAGATGGGACGTGCAGCTGAGTTTTGACTTTGTTGGTAATGACACATGCAGACACCACACAGTAAAGTCACGCTTGAGCTGAGACGCGGGATAGTGTCAAGTTTAGCTTCTGTGTTGAATGCCCTTTTGCGAAGCAAAATTAGAAAAGTTTGACGACCAAGTAACTCTTGAAATGATCCTCACTTAACGTATCGATAAACCTAAACTCTATACAACACGGAGGCTTCACCCTCCAGTGCATATGGGCTCACTCCAAAAGTAACTTCACCTTTTTTGTGTGAACCACAGTGCAACTATTCGGGGTATAATTATGCATCGATTAATCGATCATTGTTGATTATGAAGCTGATAATACATGCATTGCATCACATTTTCAAGCAATGGCGTTTGTCGATCCGAATGTGTTATTTGTCCATGTGACCCCTGCAGACGCTGGATGCTGTTACATTTACCAAAATTCATCAAATCACCCAGGGTGGGTGGGAGTGACACTCGTTACACTCCTAGTGACCATGTTGACGACTATAAAACATCCCCGAGACCACACCAATACTCAGTAACCCATTCACGCTACCTGTAATCCTTACCCCCAACACAAAGATCATGCCAGCTTCAGCAATCATGCTTTCGTAATTTATGGGCTGCGCGTGCGCGTTCTTGTGCATTTGCAGTCAATGCCCTGTATGCTGACTTTGGCAAATTTCCAGCAGCGTGCATTGACTCTGCTCGCTTAAAAGATAGCGGGCCGAAGGGTCGCGAGCCCCCCGTGTCACTGACTCCGATTTCGCAGCGTCGACTCAGGCCGTTGAACGCGGCGACACTCTGGTTCGATACACAGAAGGACATGGTTCCCCAGCGTTTGTGCTTTGTCGGTTGGCTTGTTAGTTATTCATAAGAGTATTTATCTGCTCAGCATGTAACTCAGTTTATTGATGATACATTTAAAAACGTCTCAATTCCATCCGTGACCATATATGTATTTTGGCCAAATGCCAAAAAAACAGGTTTTTTTCTTCCTCTCTGGTTATTAATTTACTACGTAAGTTTTAATAATTCTATTTTACTTTGGGTTTGTTTTGTATAAACCGTCAAGAGTCCTGCTGGGAATGTCGATGACTGGTGTCGATGTGGGCTTCGTGTAGAGTGGCACTGCAGTGCAATGGAATTTGGAGTCTCGTGGGCTGTCGAGGATCATGCTATGACGTCTCTGTGCACCATGAACACCAAAAGTGAAAGGTGACTCGAAAGTGGCAAGGCCACTTTGAGGCGGACAAGGCCTGAGTGCGTTTGCTCAACAGAGACCAGCCATCTTGATAGCCATGTTAGCCAAACAAGACCCCAGCCCTGCGTTAACCCAAGTCACACGAGCCAACTAGATCCGAGCCTAACCCATAGATTATTAGACCGTCACGCAAACAACTACTCAGACTCTAGCCCTAGCTACACCACCCAACTAAAACCGACCACGATCGTTAACCACAACTATTGTGTTCAACCACCACACTGCAGGCAAAAAAACCCTTTCAGCTTCTTCCCACGCACTGCTCAACATTTAATTCCTTCCCATCTATTTTTCCAGATTCTTATAACCTTACTCTTTGGTTTTATTCGGTAAAGTCACGTGACTTTACCGAATAAAACCAAAGAGTATGAATCCTTGCAGTCACGAAAGCTTCAAATCTAGAATCTTATAACCTTGCTCATTTCAATAAACGTATTAACTCTGATCTGCAATACTTTCAAATCGTGCTGTTTGTTGATGGCGTCTTGGCATGGTGGGCCATTGCGCCCATGTTCAACAACCGTAAAAGTAAAAAACAATACTGAACCCAGTCCTAACCTCAGTCGTAACTACCTTAGGCCAGACCTGATGAGGCCAACCAGACCGTAATGCTGACCCTGGCAACATGACCCATTTTTCATTAACTGCTCCACATTTGGTTTTAAAAAATGTGATCACCTCTTGCAGTTGGAGTTTGGCCTCTGCTTTTCCATGCTGGCCAGACGTTTTTGAAGAGGTGCAAGTAGTCACACTTTATCCCCACCACGTGTGACGCATCCTCTAAAGCCCACTCGAGTGGAGGCCCTTCCGTCAGCTGTGAACACCAGAAAATTAAAATCCCCGCGTTACAATGTGTCATAATTTTGCGGGTAGAAGACACCACCCCACCGTTAGCTCTAGCCCCGTTTCCTAGTCAACTGGCCACTCATTCGAGCCCTCGCGCCGACTATAACTCTACAAGGGCCTGGACCCATTTTCACTTTTCGTTCGCGTTTCAGTTTTGATGTGGGCAGCGGCCTGCAGTGCGCGCGTGTGTTGTGTGCTCTCTGTGGTGACGTCTGTAGCGATGGTGGTGGTGTGTCCACGTGGCTGTGCATGCTGTACATTCTGTGTACATACCAAACCCACCCTTTTTACATGATACTGTAATAAAGTGTTGGTATATTTTTAAACCAAAGCCCATACGTGTGTTCCTGCATTGTCCCAGTCCTTGCCAAGGTGGTCTGCTAATTGATATCCTACACCTGGTTTCCAGGTTACGGTATTATTTTAATTAGAGAAAAGGTAACGGTGGAGCCCTACAATTGATTGCTCACGCCACTGCTGGGAGAACGGCGACCTCTACAGCAGTAGTTCTCAACCGGGGGTATGCGGCAATGTCCCAGGGGGTATGTGAGGTGATTTATAAATGTGTGAAATTATATCGTACGTGAGAGTCATTGGTGAATAATCGTGTATGAATCTGCCAATATAAAATAACTACGAAAATATTAAAAATCCATATGGTAATCTAGAATTATATAATAGACCTTTCTAAACTGACTGATCGTGAACAATGCGGATTTCCAAGAGTAACCAACGGGCGAGAACAAATTCTGTCACGCATGTGTAGTGACATAGCGCTGGCTGCTGGCGTAAAAGGGTAACTGCGGTATACGGCAGTACTGACGTCAACAGGCCACGATATACACTAGAGGGGGACATCTAGGGGGGAAAGGTCACAGAAGGTGCCCACCGGGAAGCCCCGGGAGCTCGCTAGTAGGTTCCAGAAAGGGGGCGTGGCCGGGGCGGAGCAAGGCCACGCTGGGAGTATGAGAAAGGTCCCTGTGCAGGACCTCGGGGCTGTTGCTGGAAGTGGGATCCCCGTCGTGCTGCTCAAGTTCATCGTCGTCATCATCTCGTCGTCGTCTCCGTCTTCACCATCCCGGGGCGCTGCTGGTTAGACAGCCTACCAACTGTTCTAACTAAGTAGTGCCGCCGACAATAGATGGTCTTAATGATAGTGTGCACCCATGTAGGGTGTTGTGTGTTATCCCGATGGTGCTTGTTAAATAAAAGAAGTGCCTCCAAGTCTTACTGCCTCCGAGTTGAGTATTCACTTGCAGTTACTTGAGCTAGTTAGGATATACTTCACAAAATGGACAATTGGTTAAATTATTGACGTTCATTATTCGTTGATTTATTTATCGGAACCATGTTGGATCAGGTTGAGAACCATTGCTCTACAGAGTAGGCCATGTGTGTTGGGGTTAAGTGTGGCTGCTTCCACCTTATCCAGAGTGGAAGAAGAGTAGCCAAATTACCTCCTCGAGAGGGGGCCTTCAACCTCGAATGGATGGCCCTTATGCTCGTGGTTATGTGAGCAAGTAATTCCTGGGCTGCACCTTTCCCCTTTACCAGGTGTACGGATGGACATTTCCCAGCATTCACAATGACCAGCCAATCGGCTCAATAAACAAAAGCCCAAAAGCTAAAGTATTATAGTCTATTGTTCTTCCAAGTGAGGTCAGGAACAACGCGCCTCAACTTTGAGCTCCGTCTTTCTCTCTCCCCTGCCCTATCTCGGAGGGTTTAAATGCTGGGGCGTTTGGGTACCGGTGGCTGAGCAGGTAGACTACGACACAGTACACTCATCTCTGGGCATTTCCAGTGGCGGCCCGTGACATCGCCACGAGGTGAGGCTGTTGTGAGTGACCTCTGAAAATATGGCGTTCTAATTAAGAAAAACCTCGTCACGTTATTGGCCTTCCCGTGAAAGTGATAAAACTGTCTTATCTACCAACGGTGAGGCATTTATAAACAATACGAAATAAAACAACAAAGCACTCACATGCTGTTCCCATGACCCTCAAGTCCACAAAGTCCCTTTGTCACTGCCAAAATCCTAAAGAACTATAACAAAAATCAGCTGACACGACAACAAATTATCCAAGACACCGCGTACTGTACAACAACATCCACATATCGTCGTACACCCACCTACTTAGTCCACTTTTCATTAAAACTTGTTTCGCTGTTATGGCCACTGTCTCATTGTTATCTGTGGTAACTGTAACATCACTTTGTTTCCTCCTGGAGCGATGGGAGGCGGTGCGAGCTGCTCTATTTGCACAGTGCGACCTCGTGTCGTGACATTGTCTCATTACAGCCACGGGCGCCCTTTTCACCGCCCTGAAAGAGTCTCAAACGGCATGGACAAAATGCGAAGCTCATCGCAATGAATGAACAAGGGGAAATCTCTCACTCGGAGGATGCCTTCACAGCCGCTCAAATCAGACTGCGTTGTTGCAGCGGTTTCTAATATGGACTTAAAATGGTATCTTCATTAGGCGATTCACGTTGAAAGTATCATTATTTTGAATAAAAAAAAACCAGCGAACGAACCGCGCCTGGACGTTTCGACGGCCAATCCTGAGAGATTTTAATTTCTGCCCATCCGTGCGCCGTGTTCCTCACGATAAGTGTGTGGTGCCACGACCACGGAGCAACTCCGCAAGCGCCGCGATTCCCCCCACCCCTCCCCCTGAGCACATGCACGCACGCAGCACACACACGTGTAATGTCCCGGTGGGGGATCGCCTGGCACAACGGGTTTTCATCCGAAGGGCCCCTAGGTGGGAAGTCCCACGGTTTACCGGTGCCACGAGATTGGCCGACCCTCCCAGGACAAATCACATTGCGGCGCTCATAAATTGGCTTAAAATTGTATGGCAGCACCAAGGTTCACCGGGCCAGCCGCAATGAGTCACGCACGACATCGGGGAAAGGGCTGGAGTAAAATATTAAGCGAGCAGAGCAGACAATGAGGGTGGGGGGGATCCTAGAGCTACCGACCAAGTACACACACCGGGTGTGTATTCGCCAGCCGGATGCCCTCCCAGATTAAACCGGCTGAGTCAGGGATTTATGGGTACGGGCGCAGAGACAATGGGCCGAAAAATAACGTAACGCTCCATGTAAGGACGGAAAAACTTTGAAAATCACAGGTAGGCGCACGATTGGCTGTGCAGGATAACGTAACCCAGGATAGATTTTTTCGAATTCAAGGGGCATAACAAGGGGAACCTGAAACGGTTCAATTTAGTTCTCTCATCTCCGACCGCCTGGCCGCCCAGACCGACTCCCTGCCTGCCTCCTCGAGCCGCTCGCAGCATCCGTACGACGCTAGCGAGTGCAGCTACGAGTCAGCGATAGGTAAAGTCCTCTCTCATCTCCGTCCCTCCGACTCTCACAGCTCCCGTGCGACGCACCGCTAGTGCGGCCGCGAGGTACGTAATAGGGCGTGTGAGTATCTGGAGAATTTGGTTGTAATAGGATACGCTCTGCTCGCAGAATATTCCCTCCGGGCAGTTCAAAGGAGGCCTCATAGTGTAAATGCTTACCCCGAGCTCTCAATACTCTGATAGTGCGCTGTTTTTGAGTTGTACGCCTTTTGGCGTCATCTGATCCAACACCAGTGGAGACTAGGCACTAAGAAAAGCCGTCTCGGGTGTGGACCAATCAATTTCAAGGACAGTGCATATCATCATCAGAGTTGTCTCTTTTTGTTTGCATTTTTACTGCTTGTGTTGTGGTTATTGCAAACATGATCCCTTGTATAAAGGTGTCAGTTTTGGTGCCAGATAAAAGGGTAAAAACCTATTACTATATCTTCCAACTCCATTACATCTATTGACTCGAGTTGGATCGATCAAAATGAACAATTATCACTCGTAAAATAAATTACATAACTCGCCACAAGGCGCGACGCTGTCTCATTATTAGACTTCCCGGGCAAAAACGGCAAACAATAATAACACAAAAGTCTCAAATACTGTAGGTTAACATCTCGTACCTGCAATATCTTTTATATCACAACACCGCAACTGAATTCCTCCGTTAAATGAGATTGAGCACCAGTGTTAACATTTTACACAAGTATTTTAGACATTGAAATCAGCTGTAATATCAAAGTCTTCATTCTGCACATTTTTTAACGACCAACAATAACTCACTCAATAGCCGATTAACATTACCGAGTTTGCCGTCAGTCGACTGACATTCGAGTAACATCAACTTAACTTGTATACTATTGGAGCTAATGTAGAATGCAGCTTACCGGTTCAAAATCCATGCCTCTTTCCTGTGCACGTGGGGGTTTGGGGTCTAATTTCTGATCACCATTGCCTGATCTTAAATAATTTACATAATAAATAATCAGTATATTAAATTATTCGAATAATAAATAATTATGATTACACTAGCTTGTTTGCCCGTCCTAGGATGGAAGCTGTAATATTTACAAAGGAATTGAGCAGAGTATAATTTTATCTTGTGTAAATTTAATGGCGGTGAATCTCACACAAAAGTACGTCATCAAACACTTCACTGCATTTCACTGTAGCAACTGTATATAACTGGCCTTCAATTTGTTCAAATTCACTGCTCTGATACTTTATTCTCTTCTGCTTTCGGTCGCTGGGGTTGAAATACATTGCAATTCGATACAGTATCTGGAAAATCACCAAGAAATGTCTATTTTACCATAATGTAGAAGCATAAATGAGACTTACCTTTTGTCTCAAGTGCTGAAGAAATCAATAAAGACACCAAATGCACTTTGTTGCTGCGTATAATTATTTATTAGATTCACTTTCAATAAAGAAACGTGAAACTTAAAGCGAATTTGCCCAAAAAAATCATTTCCGCTCGACCTTCTGCGTGAGTGTGAAAATCCACCCGCTCATGAATATTAATTACGGTGGGGGTGCGGCATGTGGAGTGACGTCACCCGCGTTACACACAGACAGACATTCTTGGCTCATTATAGTAGTAAGACCTGTGAACCCATACGGTTTACCCCTCATTCTTGTATAGGGAAATTTAGTGTTCAGGTCCATAAGGCGAACAACTGTTTCAAAACGGACTACAAATTTTTGTTGTCTATTTGTTTGTGTTTCTCCCTTGTGATGGGACTTTGTAGGATGAACGTTGAGATTTACAAGGGGCACGGGGTGACCAATAAGGTCTGAATTGGTCTGTAATAAGGTAGGGCACTGATAAGGGGTTGACAGGTATGTAATTATAATAAAACTGCACCTGGCTCTCCCTTCGTCAGCTCTGCAAAATGATTTATTCGGTTCTCCCATGTCATACAGAGTGCTGCGGGGCCCGACATCCATCCCACCACCCTCGCCAGGCAGGTGGGGCGCGACGTCTGCCCATTTCGCTCGGGCCCCCGCCGACCGAGTGATCGGGCCCCCCCGCGCCAGCGCCCTCTCTGAGGGACATGCTCCGACTTCTGGCTCACAGTTGTACGGAGTGAACCCACACACCCGCGCAGACCACAGCTATTGCTAACAAGCACACAGCGGCACGCTCGCGCTCCCACCTGCGGGCGAATACCTCAACGCGCGCGCATATGCTGCAGCTCCGCGTTCACTCTCGCCGCGCGTTCTATCACGTGGTCGCTCCACACAGGAACCACAGACACCGCGCCTATGCTCTGTACTAACTTTTATTGTCGACGCAAACCCCGCACTGCCTGGAGGGAATATTTCGCGAGAAGAGCCTAGCCTACTGCTGCCCAAGTCCCCAGATATTCAGATGCCCTACCACGTACCTCGCAGCTGTACTCAGGGCGTCGCACGGACACTTTGACAGTCGGAGGGAGGAGGACGAAAGAAAACTTTACCTGTGACTGCCTCGGGGCGGCACTCGCTGGCGTCGCACGGATGCTGCGAGCGGCTCGAGAAGGCAGGACGGCAGGATGTGGGTCTTGGCGGCCAGGAGGTTGAGGAAAAAGATCTCATCTGAACGGTCCCAGGCTCCTCTTTTTATCCCCCCTGATTTCAAAAGCCCAGGGTCACGTTATCCCGCGCGGCCAATCGTGTGATTCTCGCTCGTTTTTCTTCTCTTACATGGAGCGCTGCGGCGGTTGCTTCTGCGACCCATTGTCTATCCATCCGTACTCATTAATTTCTTACTCATCCTGGTTAATCTGGAAGGACGCCCGGCTAGCGAATACACACCCTGCTCGTGTGTATTCGGTCTGGGGCTGGGGGAGGTCATGGCGCTGTGATCCCCTGACCTCATGCACCGCTCTGCTCGCTTAATATTCCACCCTCGCCCCTCCCGATGTTGTGCGTGACTCATTGCGGCTGGCCCGGTGAACCTTTTTGTGCCCATACAATTTTAAGCCAACTCAGGGGCACCGCAATGTGACCTGTCCTGCGAGGGTCGGCCAATCTCCTGGCACCGGGAAACCGTGGGACTTTCCTCATAGGGACCCTTCGGATCAAAACCCGTTGTGCCAGGCAATCCCCCGCCAGGACACTCCGTGTGTGCACTGCGTGTGTGTGCTCAGTGTCGGGGCCAGGGGGGAGTCGCGGCGCTTGCAGAGTTGCTCCGAGGCCGTGGCACCACAGTGCACAATTCTACGTGCGATTAATCACAGGTGAGCTCACACCAGCGACACAAGCCTGCAATCAGGACTCGAGGTAAGTAAAAATAAAACTGACGTTTATATTCACGTGACTATATTTTATGTTCTATTTACTATACTGTATTTGTGTCTACAGTGTTACATGCAAATATACAATATTTCTTCTTATTTATGAGTATAACAAAAGCTTCTCCTATTTGTTGAACCGTCAAACATTTCATAGTACTGACTGTATGCCCGCGTGAATACAGTACTTTGTTGTGTTCCACCAAACGAACCGTTCTACTTACGAACGGGTCTCAGGAACTAATTATTTCTCAAGAATAAATCTGCTGTTGTGGTTCTTACAACCCTGTCAACCCGTACACGGTTTATACCCCGTACTCAGGTCCATACGGCGTACGGCCAGTTTCAATACGGGTTATCAAAAGAAATCACGTAGAAGGGAAATAATAAAATAATAAGAAATAAAACATTATAAAATAAAACTAATAAAATGTAATTTTTATTATTTTATTATTTCCCTTCTACGTGGTGACTTTACCGAAAGAACCAAGAAGATGAATCCCTGCAGTCATGAAAGCTTTAAAGCAGCAGAATTGTCGTGTGCACGCATTTTGCCTATCAATATGTCCGGTATAGGGTCTCACTACGTGTTAACAATATTTTTGTTTTACTTTATTGTCATTCTTTCTTTAAATTAGGCTGTTACTATTTTTTTAATACGTGTATGGTAGTGATATTTACTGTTACACAGTGAAAATGTGTAGACGTAAGAATGAGGTTCGAAAGCGTGCTCTTCCTAACCACAACCATTTATTTTATTTCTTAGGGGGAAATTTACGTTTTATTTACACGATTTTGAGTTACGCGCCGTTTTTCAAGCACGCAACTCCCGCGTAAAACGAGACGTAGCCATATTTTACTGATTAGCTCTCTGATATGTTTCCTCTTGTACCGCGTGCTGTTCAGCATGTGCTGTTCGACGTTTCACTCCACCTGTTGTACGGCACCTTATTCAGACTCAAGGATTGTCCTAACTCAGTTCAGCTCCAGAATAAGCTAGGCCTCGGCAAGGTAAGGTAAAAGGTAAAAACAACGAGCCTACCTTTACCCTACCTTTTACCTTACCACAATACAATCACTCTACCCTACCTTTTACCCTTCAGCAGGTAAGGTAAAAGGTTAAAAGCAACGGGCCTACCTTTACCCTACCTTTTACCCTTACCCCATACAAATGACCCGAATTACAGGATAATGACTGGAGTACTACACATGAAGAAGGTTTATAACAGGTAAATGCTAGGTAGAGTGCTTTATTCATATAGAATACTCTCGATTATCACAATTTTACACGCTTTCTTTTAACTCACTCTGTTGTTGTCGTATCCTCAAATCTTGTAACTCAATTTTAACCCACTTCCCAATGTGGTTTCTACTGCAAACTTGATATACTTACGTCATACTGATGACTATACTATATTCTATCATTAAAAATAAAATAAAAATATTTTTTAACATTATTTTGTATACGTTATGTTTCGGCTTGGGTCTAATTGTCCACTGTCAACTGACGTTGGCTGTCATTGCCCACGGTCCTTTACGTTATGGCGAGCTTCGGGGCAACTTCCTGGAGTCGTGGAGTTCTGCCATTCCTCATAGATTTCATAAAAGCGTGTTTTTTAAAAGTTTAAAAAATATATATTACTTATTAAATGGAGGCCACGAACTACGCCACGGAGCTTTTAGCAGTAAACAAGGCACCGAATTTACCGGGTTAATACTTCGCGCTACCTTTACCCTACCCTTTACCTTACCCCTTGGCATGTCGACACCTTTACCTTTACCCTTTTACCCGGTAAAAAATGTAAATTACCTGACCTTGCCGAGGCCTACGATTAAGCTCTTAAGCGCTCAAAGCGAAACGTTGCACGGGCTGAACAACACAATGCGAAAACATAGTGGCAGGCTATTTAGCACAACCGCGAATGTGTGTGCAGCAGGGACGTGCGGTCAGGGGAGGCAGGGGAGGCAGAGCCTCACCTGTCATACCCCAATGAAAATAGCTGTTACGAAAAGTACAAAGAAAGAATCAAATGAAATAAATATTAAGATTGTTTTTCCACTGATCTGTGTTATAAATGTAATTTCTGTACGATTCCAATCATTTGTATAGTCAAAATCGCCAAATTTGCGGAGCTCCGCTGCAAATACTGCAGGAAGAGACGAGAGGTGAGGCAGCGACGAGCTCAGCCTCCCCTCTGATTGCGCAACCCCTCAATCACTGGATGGAGCGCGGGCAATAAGCGCGTGCCTGTTACTTTCTCAGTATGTCACCAATGTAATGTTTGTAGACCCCTTCATTTCATTTCCTCGCCTTCCATACTCCAGGTTAACTTATTTCACGCATGTGCATAAAGATATTTAGGCTCGCTGGTCTCGTCATGAAACTGCAATGAAAAAGCACCAGGGGAGGCAGCTATCACGTCTGCCTCACTGAGGCGGACGTGTCTAACACGCCCCCCCCTCAGTGAGGCCACGCCTTCCCTCAGTGAGGCCACGCCCCCCTCAGTGTGTGACTCTGGCTCTGACACGAGCCAGTGCCTCCCCAGCCTTTGACCTCACCGCACGTCACTGTTGTGCAGTAGTAAAATATTGACTGAACTTTGTGAACCGTTCAAAAGAGCACGTCCTTTGTTTGTTCTTGTGTAATGCAGCTTGGCTGGGCCAGGTGTCTCAGCGGTAGAGAGCACGGTTCGCAATCGAAACGTTGTGAATACAAATACTGGTTGGGAGTTGCCGCAGCCCCATCATTCCTTCCTCCGAGCTATATAACATTAGGAACCGTTGTGGAGAAGTCAACAGTGGTTGTCTTACGGAGAGCCTCACTCTTGCCATAAAAACGTGGAATTTACTCCACCGGCTCAAAGGGCTATTAGCAGTAGATGAACACCGTCCTTCATGCTCTATTGATCCGGAATTAACTTGGAAAACTGCGGCATCCACCTCTTTGCAGCCGTCTGCACGTGAAGGTGAACTCCGCTCGTGCAGGTACAAGCGATGGCCCGTGACGGACAGGTGTTCGTGGTGCTGGGAGGCTCGGGGTTTTTGGGCGAGCGGGTGGTGCGTCTGCTGCTGGAGAAGATGGGCGACTCGCTGAGCGAGGTGCGAGTCTTTGACTGCGTGGTGCGGGACGACATGCGCGCCTGGGCGAGCGGTACGTACGCAGTGGCTTTTGCCACAATTTCTGAAATCTCTGCTTCAAAAGAGAGGCCAGGTACAGGGACAACACAAAGGCTGTCCCATAATTGTATTTATAATAACCACATCCTTTTTTATTTTTAGTCCGTGTGAAGTGTCTCTTGATTTTAGGGTTGTCACCTGTCCTGATTTTCCCAGGATCATCCTCTTATTGATGTAGCTGTATTGGGAAATCTCTGGGTTTTTTTTTTCATTTTCATAATCGTGCATCACTCAAGACAACGTGCAGGTCCGGCCTATTTTGGTCGGATCGGAACGTGTCAAAGAGTTTGCCCACGGAGGAGATGGAGCAATTAAATCAGTTCGTGTGCAGGCGCTATTATGGATTGTTACATCGCAGGATCGTGAATGGTGGCGGTGGCTGGAGGAGGTCTTCATCCAGCAGCATGGCTGATGACGATTCATTTGAATTCGATTAAACTCACTCACTGCTGGCACGTTGCGCTGGTGTGGCGCTGCAGGCCCGTGCAAGCTGACGCTGCTCAAGGGAGACATCACGGACTACGAGCAGCTGGCGGCGGCCGTGCGCGGGGCTCACGCGGTTATCCACGCAATCAGCATCATCGATTTCATGAACATCGTCCCCGAGGAGCGCATGCACCGCATCAACGTGGGCGGTGAGTACGCGCAACCGGTTCCATGTCACGGCGTGGGACAGTTGCAACAACGGTGGTTTCTTAAATCAACCCCTGCCCCACGGTTATAGCCAGGTTGTGTGTAGTGGGGTAAAGTATGCGTTCTCTTACAAGACATCTGGCAGATTAACTCTAGAGCGCCCTCTAGCGGAGGCGCTTCCACCAGCAGTGCAGTGAGCAAGAAATTGCAAGGCTGCGCCTTTAATTTTATTTCAGATGTGAGAATATTCGTCTAGTGACCATTGTCGCGGGCGATGACGGCCACGCACAGGCGGCTGTGCTCATGGCCAAGCAGGGACCGCGCATTAATAACTGCGTGGCGCGCGTGTGGTGGTGCAGGCACACAGAACGTGGTGCGTGCATGCGTGGAGGCGAGCGTGCCGATCCTGGTGTACACAAGCAGCACCGAGGTGGTGGGGCCCAACAAGCAATTTGATCCCTTCTTCCGGTGAGCTGACTGTCGGCACGGGGCAGCACCACCTGCAGCAGGGCACTGGGGTCCTGCTTGCCCAATCGCAGGCCCGGTGCTGCTTTACCTTGTGCCGCACAGGGACAGCTGTCGCTTGTTTCTGCTTTTGCGTGTCTGGGTGCAGCTCATCACCGGGGGCAAGCTGAGCACCCCTTAGCCAGGGGTCGACAAGCAAAATAACAAGAAGAGCCATTTTTTTGTGTCTCAATGTATATATGAGTAAACATTTTCAGTCCATCCAGCCTATTTGACTCTCCAAACAATCGTGATCCGGCCAACGTCTTCAGAGCATTTGACGAGATTTGGAATTGTTCTCCGGAGTTTCTGAGCTAACGCTGTTTTGCGCTGCATTCACAGAGGAAACGAAGACACCCCATACAAAGTGTCGCACAACAATTTCTACTCCAGCACCAAATGTGAGGCCGAGAAGATCGTCCTGAGCGCCAACGGCACCAAGGTTAGCGGACTGGCGCGGCGCTTCCGCCACCGCGAGTGCCGCATCGGACACGGGGAACTCTACGCATCACCAAACAGCATCTCTCATCTTAAGTTTCAAACGAGTCACAAAAATGCGTAAAAAGCGAACCACTTCTGTGCGTGTATGCAAAACATCCGATTGCCATTTTCTGAAGAAGTGCATTGTGGTCCTCTTCTTGGCCGAGGTACAAATTTGAGCAAATGTGACCGACAAGGCAGGCAGCAAAAGTGATGCATTGAAAGAAAAACTGTGAATTGGATTCGTCCTGATTATAATTAATCAGTATGGTGTAGTTACCAATGCTCACTGCTGTGTCCGCTGTGTCCTTGAGCCAGGGGTGGAAATGTTCAGTGGTGGAAAGAAGATCTGAACCAGACTTCGTTTCAGAAGGAACCAGGGACAAGTGTTGTAGTGGCGGGTAGTGTATATATCTACACATATACAGAGATGCATAATTCGCAAGTATCCGTCCATCAGGCTTCTGGATTTCGCAAATGGTACATGGGAGGAATCGTGCATAAAACTGTCTAAATTGTCTGCGAAAATACATAACAAATACGTATGACACTGCTTTATTTGTAAGGAATGTGTTGCTGAATCAGGAAAACTTTATTTATGATTCAAGGCTCTCGTCTGCTGATTGTTCTACCGCTGAGCCCTGTGGCCACATTACATTTAAAGATAATCTAACTGCAGTTGCTTTAGCTGAACACACAAATAAAAACATGACATGAACGTCACAGGGAACCACTGAAGACTGTAAAGATTAATGTTGAAGACACTTCTTCGATGAGAGACAGCCAATCATTGCAGAACAAGAATAGAAAAGTCTTGAAGGGTTTTGCGAAGAGGAAGGACTTAGACTTGAACAGGGGCAAGGAGCTAGCAGAGTTCCCCACCGCAAGGGCAGCAATCTCCCATTGAAAGAAGATTGACCGAGGGTTTTGATGGAAGGCCTCAGTTGCTGGAACAGAGAGCCCATGAAGGGGAGCAGAGTGTGGGGAGAGGTGATGGGTGGGGACAGATTCGTGGAGGAGTTTGAAGACGGCGATATTAAAGTTTATTCGTGATTTGATTCAGAGCCAGTTGAGGGATTTGAGGATTGGGATGATGTCTTGTTTGTGGGTGGCCATGTCTCTATGAATTAGTATATGACTCTGACCAGTCATTGTGGTAAACAGTTGCAAGGCTACACGGAGGAGGTGGGGAATCTATGTTTCTGCTTTTGCGTGTCTGGGTGCAGCTCATCACCGGGGGCAAGCTGAGCACCTGTGTTATCCGCCCGTCGGGCATTTATGGGGAGAAGCACGACTCGCTAGAGCAGGCCTACAGGCGTGCACAAAAGAAAGGAGGGGTGGTCATTCGCGTCTCGCCCACGAACTCGGAGCATGGGCGTGTGTACGTAGGTGCGTAATGCGTACACTCTGGTTTCCAATTCTTCCTCCATTATAGTATTGTGATGCGGTTGTAATGTCTCGACTAACTGGATAGCACGAAAATAGTTGTGGGTGAAAATGTTTCACGTCTATTTTTTCATGTGTGCCACGAGATGGCAGGTGACACGGTTGCATGGGTCCTGGTGCAAGGAATGAACCTGTTCAATATGCCCTCCGCCCCCACCGCTCTTCAAAACGTTGAACACCTCAACAGTATTCATGGGTCTCCTTCCTACTCGACCTGCCCCCCATCCCAGACCCTCCTCACAAAATCCATCCGGCACATGTACCCCTTTGATACGGGGAAGCGATCGCACCAAAAATGAAAGGGTGACGTGGGGATGGTGGTTCTGCTGTCGTCTGCACAGGTAACGTGGCGTGGATGCACGTGATGGCCGCTCAGGCCCTGGAGAAGAAGCCCCAGGTGGTGGGCGGCCAGGTCTACTACGCGTGCGACGAGTCGCCCTTCATGAACTACACTGACTTCAACATGGAGTTTTTCTCCGAGCTGGGCTTCCGCATAAGCGGAGAGCGGATGATTCTGCCTTACTATGTCCTCTACCTATTTGCGATACTGCAGGAGGTTTTGCACGTAAGTACAGTCGGTTGGTTCCTATTACACTCATGTAAAAAAAAAAATCGCCGGCACTCATCCCTTCTCTCTTTCAGGGAAATTCTGGAATTCGCCCAGCTGCTGCTGCTGCTGCTGCTATCACTGGTTACAATAAAAAAAACACACACGCACTCGCCCGTTTCCGCCAGATCTGTCTGGGTCATATTTTCGCAGCCGACAAAATGCATCTAGTGCACCTCTCAATGTGCGACCGACTGCAGCATGCCAGCAACCCGACACAAACGTTCTAAATTATTGACTGTCGGCTGTGGGTGATGGTGTAGAGTTGCCAGTTTGTGGAGAATCGACAAGATTTTTGCTTTTTAGTTGTATGTGTTCCTATTGTTTATGCCGCATTCTTTTTGAACATTGTATTTTTGTCTGCAATCACTTCCTGATTATCTTAAACTGCCCTTTGTTCTGGCGATTCGAGATGTACTGCATGGGAGGAGCGGTATAAATAATACACGATGATGATGATCTTCCAGGTGGTGCTGGGGCCACTGATGGGCTTCAAGCCGATTCTGAACCGCTACATGCTGAATTCCCTCATCTCCACGTTTTCCGTGAGCTCCGACAAAGCACGCCGCCACTTCAACTACGAGCCACTCTACAGCTGGGCCGAGTGCCGCGAGCACACCGTGGCATGGCTGCGAGCCTTGCCCGGTTCCGCTAAGCCAAACCCACCGCACTGACCCCACAACACGGCGCTCACTCAACTCAACTCATTATGCTAGCCCGACCTCACCACACATTGACCAATAAGCTAAATGGGGTAAGGGTGATGTGTAAGGAAAGAGAGTATATGGGTTTCAACACCTCAACAATAGCTACCAGGTGCTGAATCCACAAAATTCCCTCATTCTGCGGTGGACAGTGTCTCTTGTATTAGCAATGAACACCATATGCTCAGTGTTGAAACCTTTTTCGTGAAACTCTGGCAGAATTCAGAAATAAGATATGGGGCAACTTTATTTAATATGCCGACATCCTTCTCCCGCACCTCCGATGAGCACGGTTGGCTGCATACGTTGTGAAAGAAGTGCAACTTACCATACATATATCTACCGAGTATAAACACACACAGAAATAATCAAAATCTAATTTTATTGAAAACATTCAAAATCACAGGCACTTAAAGGTTTTGCTTTTTAGTGTATATTTCTTACGAACAATGGCATTGAGCAAATTTATATATAAAGTAAAATAAATCGTGTGTGATTGTCTAGCTTTTGCATTTTCAAAGGTAAACCGTATCAATTATGAAATGTAGATGCTTAAGCCAGAGCAAAGTAAGGCACATAGGACGAGATAAATCCTCATCCCCATTACTTAGAGGTAGCTCATTAATACTGTTCCCTGTACCTTTGCGATCTGAGAAACACAAACATTAAAGTGACTGAAAGGAATACAAAATCAATGATATGGAAATTAAAAAATCATTACATTATAAAATAAAGACAGAAAGCAAGCATGCATCACAGATTAAGAAATAATTTTCACTCGCTGTGTTATTACTGAATTCAGGCCCTGATGCAGCACTGTGTAACACAGAGTTACTTTGCCACGTACTTCAACACAAAGTAAATCTGGCCGTGATCAGTCACTAACTCTGATATGTCACTCCATTGCATTGAACGTATGAGGGCAGATTTGGCCACAACTAATTTTTAAACACTTTATTCTGGTTCGTGCTAAAGATTTCCTATCTCACGTAAAAAGTGAAATCGCAATATCGCTTCGTCCCTGTAGTTTATGAGACAATTGCGCTTTTACTGAAAATTAAACTATACAGCACATGCTATGTGAATCGGGAGGTGGGGTCTTAATGCCTCATGGATATCGCTGTGGTTTTCCCACTAATAGCCCCCACATTCGTCCGGCTAGAAGGCATAGTTGCGCCTAGCGGAGGGTGTGGTTGCGCTGGAGGAGGGTGGTGATGGTGACCCCCCATTGCCAGCAGAGTATGCAGCTGCCCCCCGCACGGCGTTTTCACCCAGGATACCCGTCTCTCGGGATACCTTCAGCGAAAAGTCGACCACTGGGTAGCCCTGCAACAACACAGCAAATAGCATCAACCACGATGCTCTTGGACAGATGGATGAATCTATTCTACTATGTAGAATGACTGCAACATCTCTGCAATTAAACCACGCACGCATAATACAATAAAGAGGAAGAAACAACATGCATATACACGGATTCTGTAACGCTTGCCAAAATGTGTTTTTGCTTTGGTGTATTTAATTCGCGATAACATTACGTTGTGAGCTATACAAGACGAGGTCACACGGCACATGACATGATGGCATTAGACTGGAGCAATTTGGGCTATTTTATATAGGGTTAGTCTTGATCTGGGGAGGCAGGGGAGGCAGAGCCTCACCTGTCATACTCAAATGAAAATAGCTGTTACGAAAAATAGTAATAAAATTAAGATGATTCCATTGATCTGTGTTAAAAATGTAATTTCTGTACGATTCCAATAATTTTTATAGTCAAAATTGCAAATTTGCGGAGATCCGCTGCAAATACAGGGAGAGAAGAGAGGTGAGAGGTGAGGCAGCGACGAGCTCAGCCTCCCCTCTGATTGCACAACCCCTCAGAAACTGGATGGAGCGCGGGCAGTAAGCGCGTGCCCGTTACTATCGCTCTGTATTTCACAAATGTAATGTTTGTAGACCCCTTCATTACATGTCCTCGCCTTCCATAGTCCAGGTAACTTATTTCACGTATGTGTATAAAGATATTTAGGCTCGCTGTTCTCGTCATAAAACTGAAATGAAAAAGTACCAGGGGAGGCAGCTATCACATCTGTCTCACTGAGGGGGGGTGTATCCGACACGCCCCCCTCAGTGTGTAAATCCGGCTCTGATACTAGCCAGTGCCTCCCCAGCCATTAACCTCATCACACGTCACTGGTCCCAATTAACAACAAAACTTTACACTCAAATGTAAGTTATATTCGTTCATCTTTTTTAAGAGTTAGTGACCTCATATGACAGATAGCCGGACAGAACTCATGCATGAACGCTTTCGACCTTAGTTGGAAAAGATGGGCAATGACACATTCGCTCAAAAATAAATAAGTTCGTAGTTCATGACACCCTACGACAAAGAAAAATTAAATTAACTGATGTTATTTAGGCAATGGTCCTTCATTCAGAGCAGCATTCCCAAGATAACCATAAACACTGCAAGAACGAAATAAGGCTACGAGCTTTAGGTCATCAGCTGGCTTGGGTTACCTGCGTGAGGGAACCCAGCGACACGATGTCCACGCTGGGTCCGAGATAGCGCAGCAGGTTCTCATCCGTTACGCCCCCGCTCGCTTCCACCACCACCGTCGGAAACTCGCTCTTCAGTGTTTGCGCATGCGTGTGCAGCATCTGCCAACCGTCGTCGATAAACCGTGTGCTTAGGGTTAGGAAATTAGAACTATTGGTTGAATCTTGACTTAAAGCTTTCGTGACTGCAGGAATTCACATTCTCTGGGTCTTTCGGTAAAGTCACGTAGATAGAAAAAGAATAATAAATAAATATCACAACGTTTCGATCGCAACACAAGCAATCGTCATCAGGTGACGATTGCCTGTGTTGCGCTCGTGATATTTACATTTTTAATTAATCTTTTTCTATCTACGTGGCTTTACCGAAAGACCCAAAGAATAATAACTATTGGTTGCTTATAAAATTCGTTGCAGCAAATTGGTAGGCCAACTAGTGATAAGCATGTAACAGAAAACATCTACATATATAAAAAATTGTTAAGCTACTGCTGCTTGATAAATGAATATAAACCACATCCCCGTTTTAATTGTCCCATTAATTGCCTCCTGCGTGGACACAATGACACTGAACAGGCGGCGTGCTGCTGTGTGATATGGAGCTGTGCGATACTAACGGGTGGAGCAACGTTATCCAGCATGATGACATCCGCCCCCGCCCGGGCTGCCTCCCGCCCCTCCTCCAGTGTGCGACACTCAACCTCCACCTTCAGGCTGAATCCGCCAACGCGCTTCGCATCGCGTACAGCCTGCACGTGACAACACGTTTCAAGTCTTTAACATCCCACACACAAGGCACCATTGGCCCACTCACCAGTCCATACATCCACACGTCCACAGTTACCTGTGTTATCCCGCCAGACGACCACACATGGTTGTCCTTGAGCATGATCATGGAGGAGAGGTCATATCGGTGAGTGGCAGCACCGCCCACCAGCAGCGCGTGTTTCTCCACTAAGCGGAATCCCGGCGTCGTCTTGCGCGTTCCCGCAACCTGGCCGGCCCAGCCCGCCGCCCGTGCCGTCTCACAGGCCCTCCGCGCCGCCGTGGCCACTCCGCTGGCACGGGCCAGACAGTTGAGCGCGGGTCGCTCTGCCAGGAGGAGGTGCCGTGCCTTGCCGGTGACCACCGCAACGCGACACGGCGCCTCGCCGGCATGCCTGGACAAGCATTAATGAGCCGATGTGGTATTCTGACCTTAATAGTTTAGTTTAAACTGAACCATGTAGCATCAGCTCAGCTAGAGCCAGTTTTCTTAAGGGTCCACGTCATGCATTCCAATAAAGAAAATATTTTTTATTGCTTTTCCATAAAAAAATGCACTGTTTATTGCTGTAAAAACGGTACACTTCATGACGTCTGCCATATTCCAGGGAATGTGACCCCACTCTACTAATTCGCAACCAAGAACCACATGTAAAAAAAGTTACCTCTATTTTTTTCCTTGATAAGATATTTTATAAATGTACAGTCTATTGCGCAATGCTAAAAGTGTAGAAATCCAAATTCGGCATGAATTTGTAACACGGCTGCTTTCAGTGCGATGCATTGAAATATCAATGCATTGCTCTTCCCCGCAACGGGTGACATAAAAATGTTTGTCCTATAACAGCGTGGTGCACCCATACGTGTCAAGCCATACGGTTTACCTGTATTCTTGCAAAGAGAAATTGAGTTTTCAGGTCCATACGGTGTACAGCCGTTTCAATACGGGCAAAAAATGTGTTTTGCCTATTTGTCCCTTGTAATGGGACTTTTTAGGATGAACGTCGAGATTTATAAGGGCACTGGGTGACCGATAAGGTCTGAATTGGTCTGTAATAAGGTAGGCACTGATAAGGACAGATGTGTGCACCGCACCGTAGCAGCATGTCCCCGTCGTGGTAGAACCACTCGACGTTGCAGCCCAGCTCATGGAACACGGCCTGGAAGAACGGTGCCCCAGCCAACACGCCGGGCGTCTTGCACAGCAGCACGGCGCGCTCGTCGCGCTCGCCCACCACCAGCCCTCCGTAGTCGAAGGCAGGCGAGTCCTCCCGCAGCCACGCACGCGCCAGGTCGCTCAGCGAGGCCGGTGGCAGAAGGTGGGACAGGTCGGCCATGGAATTCATCCTCTCCGGGGGAGCTCCACACTTTGCACGTGGCAGCGGCGAGGACGGCAGCGACGACCTAATATGGACGTGGTGGTGACCTGAGAAATAGAGTTCACGGAGTTTTAACCACATGACCCCATACATCGTGTACATATGTAGGGGTGCTATGGGGAATAAACACATGACACGGGAAGGTGTGGTTCACCCACACCTTGGTGGCTACAACAACGTCCGCTAAGGCTCCAGTGGGTATAAAGTGCGGGGAGCCAGGGAGCTCGGGGCAGAGTGTGGGGCCCGAGGCTGAAGCAACCAGTGAAGAAAGAAGGCCAGCTAGGTGAGACCCTGGAACTCCTGTGACCGCTGCCCTTTTCAGGGCCGGCACAGCAAGCCAGTGGTGCGGCCCCAGAGCCCCAGAGTCAGAGTCCTTCTAAGGGCCGGTCTGGTCGGCGGGGTGCCGAGATCTGTGCCTAACCAGGGCCGGATCTGATAGCCTCCCTTAGAGCCCTACCAGGAGGAACTGGGAGCCTAGAGCTTAGGCCAGAGAGCCTGGGGTGTGTTCCTGAGTTATACGGGTGGAGGGGCCGCTACCCCTTCTAGTGTAACCCTTGTTAAGGTTTAAATAAATAGTGCTGCTTCTATTCTGCCGTCTCCGTGTCCTGGAACCCACTACAACTGGTGTCAGAAGTGGTCTTAAAATGGACACAAGGAGTACAAACCGATCACAGGAACCCCAGGAGGAGGACGGCTCGCCTGGGATTGCGCCAGAGGCCGCGGCCGACGATCCTGGGATGTCCCAGACGCCCCAACAGCAGCCGCCGCTGGAGGAGTGGCCGCCGATGGAGGACGGGTTGCAGGCGGCTCACTCTCGACTGGCTGAGCTGCTGTATGCCGCGGCTTCCACGCTGGAGGAAATCAACCGCGCGGGGCTGCGGGCGCAAAGGCGGCAGAGAGACGAACGCCGTTCAACGGCCATTCCCGCCGAAACACAGCCACCAGATTTCGGATTTTCCGCCATGACAGTGTCCGCCACGGCGATTGGAGGGTCGCAGCGCCACGTGGACGCTGTGGGCCAATCAGCGGTGGTGACGTCATCACCAACGGACGCCCGCTGTCAGGACCAATCGGCGGGCGCATCGTCATCACCTGCGCGACCGCCGATGGGTGTCCTCAGCCCCTCAGACACCGGTGGAGAGGCCGGAAATGGCGCGCGGCACCTCTCAGAGACGAAGCCATCGTTTCAACAACGCCTGCCGGTGTTGAAGGAGTTCGTTTCAGACGGCGGCGACTGGGGGGCCTTTCAACGCCGCTTTCTCGCTCATCAAGAGATGGCCGGCTGGACGGACAACGAGGCGTTGAGTGCGCTACCGGCCATGCTGGACGATGACGCCCTTGCTACGCTCATCACAGCTCCCAGATCAACGCGATCTACGCTACAGTCGGCGCTCCAGGTCCTCACCATAGTCTACGGGCCATCGTCGGACTGCCGCAAACTCTTCCACGAGCGGTGCAGGGGCCAGAAGGAGCCACCGCTGGCGTATCGCACGGCTCTCCTGGCCCTCGCAAAAGCGGCTTTCCCGCGGATGGACGGCGAAGGGGTGGACGCGATGGTGACGGAGAAGCTCCTGGCGTTGGCCCAGGAGCTACAGATCGTCATCGTCGCAGAGGACGACGCGGACATGTGCTCCTTGCGGGCAGCAAGACACATCCACGCGCACCTGATAGCGCAGCGTCGATCACCTCTCGTCCCCAAGGGCGCAGCTGCGGTGTGCGCTGGGACGCCGACCATCCCCCCCTCCGAGGAGGTCTTCGCGGCGGGTCGCCCGGTGGAGTGGAGATCCGGAGGGAGGCCGGCTCGGACCACACCGGATCGCCAGGAGCACCCCAAGGCGCTCATCACGTGCTACAACTGTGGCCGCAAGGGCCACGTGGCTGCGGAATGCCGGGCGCCTCGTCAACGACAGCCGGGACGGTCGGACGGCGCTCCAGCCTACAGGCCTCCGCATCGCAACCCGGCAAGTCGCGGCACCCCACATGCTCGGCCTGTGCACACACCTGTCCCCACCTCGCGCGT